TATTTGACTCTAGCCATTATTTCCTATATTGCATTCATAACCTTTTGTTTTCATTCTAAACATTAAGAGCTAAAGACCAGCTAGCTACTCCCTTTCTCGCTCCAACTTTAAATTTGTGCTCTGAGTTATCCTTTCAGCTCCTGCCAGTGACTGGCACATGAGTCATTGCATAAAACCAGAATTGCTGTTATTCTAAAGACTCCCTTGAAACCCTTTTTCATTCTGCTTCACATGCTACAAAGTCTTTGTTTAAAGGAAGTGGATTTAAACTGCATCCAACAACCTGAACAAGCATGACATGATATTAAGTCATCAATTTTTCTCACAGTAGTAAGAAAAGTAAGCAGTAAGTGTTTATTGATATGTGCAGTAGAGCTCTTGTTCTGTGTCTCTTTCCTTTCTTATGAAACTCTTCACTCATAGCTAGCTTAATAGACTTATGGCTTGCAGCATCATTCCTTCAGAATTGGCCAAAACTGGCCAACGCTATTTACACAAGCTAAATCTCCCAGAAACAGATAAATGAAAATAGGTAGATCCCTTTTTGGGAACTGGCAACTCAACATACAGTTTTCTTTTGCCCCTGATTTGTTGCTAGAGATTTAACTGCTTATCACAACAAGTTGCTAACTTATTTGCATTTCTTCTTCCTTTTAAGAAAGAAATATGCAAAATAAAATAAGTAGTAACTGGCTAGCTGTCTTTGCACTGAATGTATCTAATAATGTGCTGTGTACCTAACGGACCTTAGTGCATGACAGTCTCTTTCAAGCTGACTGGCATTACTTGCCTCAGAGTTCTCCTGTATTCAACCCGAGATACCCAGAGAAACTCAGTGCAAGGAAAAACATTTTATAACAATGCCTCATTCCATAGACTTCCTCTCCACGAGTTTTTTCTAGGGCTTTTTATTCTTGAGATTGTACATCTAATGACTGCATATACACACTTCCAATAGCCTTCTTTCTGAAAGTTCCTTCTTGTTGAAATCCCTGATGTCTTCATTGCCCCATGGTTCTTTATTCATATTTTTTTTCCTCTGGGAAAAAAATATATATAGATTCAGGTAACTGGCTTGAGTTTTGTAACTTAACTGCCCGGCTTGAGTCTTCCCCCCATTACTCTTTTGCACTTTGATTATAAATAGAACATCGGAATGTTTGCTGTGAACTATTATCTCAGTCTATTATGTTAATTTTGTACTTATTGTTTCACTGTTTATCTTACATGTTTATGCTTTAGTATGCGTAGCACTAAAGTAAAATAAATTTTATTACTACTAAAATTGTTGTTGCACTGAAGAGACTAGAGAGAAATTAGTATTTCTTGCAAAATGCTTTCAAAATTTTAACACATCCAAACTTCATTTGAATCTAGAAAGATAACTCCAAAATTTAAGACTAATATTCTTGGAACTTCGTTTTGAAAATACAGTATGTCTCATGAAGCAATTCACTTCTGCTTCAATATGATATACAAATTTTATACATTTTAATTAAAAAAAATCAAGATTAAAAAAAATTAATGAAATGTATGCTTGTATGAAATTCTTTGGTTTTGTCAAATATCATTTTCCAGGGTAAAATTTATTCCTGTGAGTGGGTGTGTGGGTGTGGGTGTATATTTGTGTGAGATCAACTTAAAAAATCTTACCTGGATTTCTGGCTCATGTTTCACTTTTAGCTTTTAACTCGTTAAACTATGAGTTCAATGTTGTTTTCCACAATTTAATATTGAGTACTTACTTTTTGTTTTGTCATTCTCTTGAATTACTGTTGCTTGGATTTCCCAGTCCTTGCAGATACACCTCCTTACGATTTACCAGCCCATTTCTTCTTCTCATCATTACAAGTGACCTCAAACAACTATTTTAACATAGTGACAGTTTTCACATACACTCTAAGTTGTTTGCTCTTTTAATCCACTGGATGCTTTTTCACCTGCAGTTGAAGTTCACTGTACCTGGCTTCTGCAAAGTAGATTGCTAAAATGGGTGTGTTGTTTTCTGGTAGAAAATGTTATGTTTATTTTCAGCAGAGTATATGGTTACAAGAGTCTGCAGACTCCACAATAGTACTTTATTTCCATTACTTTTCATTTCCAAGGGTGAAATCCAAACAATTCTTACATAATGGTGGCTCCCAAATTAACTGCCTTGAAAGAAACCTTTTTGCCTAACATGCTGTGCCCTTCCTTGCTTTCTGAAAACTCCTCTGTCATTAGGTAACTATCATTTCACAGTAATATTTGCAACTTTCATTTCATGAGAGATTAAATATCACTCCTTTTCTGGGCTGCAAAGACTACAGAGAACAAGTGCACAACTTTGTTGTCCTTAACCTCAACCTAACTGCCTCAGCTGTGCCAAAGGAAACACTCAGCACCTCTTTGTCCTTATGAAGGCAGAGCTGTCTTTGGCTAGCACTGCCAACCCACTTCTAGCTCCTGCTTCCTCCCATGGTGAGGGACTATTGCTTTAGCATCAGTCATGCTTTTGGCTGAAAAAGTTAAGCAACTTCTCAGCCATTTGATCCATTATTAAATGGGAACAGATCTGAATGAATCCAACACACCCTGTCTTTGAAAAACAGAGCTTTTTCATCAGTGTTATACAGGCTACCTCTATATAAGTGGAAAAGCAGTTGAAATACTTCTTGTGACCATTGCTTTACTTCTTTCCTGCACTGTGATTAACTTGATGCATTTACCTTAGTGATGTTTTACAACGGTCTCACTGTTTTTATTTTCTTACTGCATAATGTAAATGAGCAATTTTAACATCTAGATGGCACCAAATGGCAATAAGCCTTTGGAATGGTGGTCAACAGATTTTGCCACAGATTTATTGGATTATCTGTGCTTCTCAATTTCTGCTACCTTTCTTCCCTGTATTGTACTGGCTCTGTACTTCTCTTCCCTGAAATGGCTACTGCTCTCTGACAGAAGTTATACCTGTGGGGAACTCCAATCCCCCAGCAGCTAGAAAAAAAAACCAAAAAAAAACAAGTCAGAATTCAGAGGAAAGCAAATGTAGAAATACAGAGTTCCTGGACAGCCATGGTATATGGCAAGTGTCTAACAAAACTATGTGATTCAGTCATCAGCATAGTCACTATTTCCTTATTGATGCTATGTCATCAGGAGGAATTCAGAGGATATTGTAAAAACAATTTCCCATAGAATTTAGAGGGGACTTGAATGAAAAGGTTTATTCCAGTCTTAAAACATAACAGAAAAAAACAAGGAGTTTCCACATCTATTAAAATGCATCTCAAGTTGGAAAAAAAAATAGTTTGAAACTCACACTTTTAGAGGTTAAAAAAAGATACACTTCCTGAAAGAATGCCTGCCTTTGGAAGATGCTGGGATTAATAGCGGATGTATCTGCTTGGCCCCCGTACTCCATGTTAATTCCTCCTTCTACCATGAGGTTAGTGTCACAGAGTCAGCTTGAAAATAAAACTAGTGGAGTCAGACTTCATACACAACTTTATGGAGAAAAGCAGAAGTATTACATTACCTTCCTTCCTGTCCCCCACCCCCTCCCATCACATACTTGCAACAATCTCACAACCTTCCATTTTCAAATTCAGATTCAATGGTCTGCCAATCATATAAGCCTCCATCATCTTCCTTTCCATTTAACTTCATTTTCCTTACTTAGTGGGAGTACATGCAGATGCAACTTTTGCCATGAAGAAGATTCGATAAGCTTCCTTAATGTCACCTTTTAATGTCAGTAAGGTTGTCACAATCAGAGGGCTATCAGCCTACAAAAAATACACATATGAAGCTCTCCTATTTCTTCTGTATATAGAACAGATTAGTAGATCCAGTTCTAAACAGTGTATTTTTCAGTCGCAGTTGTAAGGTGTACCAGTTACAGATAACCTCTCTTCCCACTTTAAGTCTTTGGTATCTTCCCACAATGCTCATACTGTTGTGATAAGTCGTACTGACTAAGCATTCTATCTCCAGAGTGGTACAGGCATTGTCACCAGGTTACAACCATAACAGCAACTGGGCACAGCACTGACCACAATATGTTGCAGCAGAGGTCAGGAAAGAAACAGAGCCTGTTAGCCATGAGTTAGTGCAAAATCTTGTGTAACAACCAGTTCTGGTTACCAAGAGGCACTGAGTCAATCTCATATGTCACCCCAGGGACTCTGGTGCCTTCTGCACATGACAGCAGAAGCCTTTTAATTTTGGAACAAGCCACTCACTTTGCCATCCCACGCACAGCTCAAGACAAAGTGTGGGAGACAGTTCTTTCAATCTCTGTGAATACCCATGAAGATGAATCAGGAGGGGCAATCCCAGCCCTGCACTCAGCTGGAACTCCTATCAAGACTCTGCAATAAAAAAATGGCAGAAGCAGCCGGGGTAACAGGGTTTATAGGGCAATTCATAAAGTGAAAAAAATCAAAGAGACTCCACTGAATCCCAGTGGAGAAAAATATACCAAAAATAAAAGGGATCCTACAGCCAAAAGAAATGTAAACACTAACAGAATGATCCATGTAAACTTAGTTCTGTGTCAGCAGGATTGCAGGTTTCCTTGCAAACTACTGCATAGGGGGCGTTAAATAGCTCATTTTTCATCAATACATAAAAGGCACTGCTTTGATTACAACAGCAGCAGCCATGTTTTGGTCTTTTGGCACTATATAATAAAATGACATGTGAGAGATTGAGCCCTGTAAGGTGCAAGTTACTGTGCTCATTCTTCTCATTACACAGAAGACTAGAAGTCCAAGGTGAGGTAGCAAGCCTCCAACTTAGACACATGCTGCCCATCTTTTATTCCTATACTAGTGTTTACCAGCCTATATTCCCTTTGGTAACTACATGTGTTGTCACCCTAATGTGTTAAAGCAGCCCGCACCACTGACGTCTTGAAGATTGGCTTTTGTGTTGCTACTACAAGTCATGAAAATACCACTGTCACACATTCACTTCCAGTTTAAAAGCAACATGCCCTGGCAACTGTAACTTACATGAAAGTCAGCAGGTGGCACCCAAGAAACACTGATGCATTTTATTTGACCACGTTCAACTGTTCCCTTTGCCGATTCAATGGTGAATCCCTTCTGCTGCAGAAGCGGCAGGTTATCAAAACTGAACTCCACATTCTACAAGAGACACAAACACAACATACCCTCACTACACACCAACTCCTTCATACAAGAATGACTTTGTTTAAAGGCTGCATTGCCCAGATGCTATATAACTTGGCCAAGTTGCAGCTTCAAAGGGCAGAAGCCAAAATCTATCTTGTTCACTGCATACAGTTGACATTAAATACTACATAAAATGAGAGAATATAGAGAATTTTTTTAAAAATAATGTGCTCTTCACATGAAATTTAATTCTCTGGAAATGCAATCTGTTTCATCATTGAACAAAATGCCATTATTACAAGTCAAATTTAGGTAAAAAGTTGTGGGGTTCTGTGTGTGGTTTTTTTTTTTTTTTTAAAAACAGACTGCAAATATCAACTAAAGGATTAGTTTACAATGATCAGAGCCATAATTCAGTTCTGTGTTCAGACATCTATATTTAAGAATTAGGGGAAGACTTAATTTGTTGCTTACTTTTAATATGATAATGCTAATTCCTCTTGTTAACATGTGGAAAATATTTTTCCTCTTTCCCAAGACTGATGCTTTTGTAGTGTAAAGCTTAACAGAAAAGCTCAAAGGTGTTTTTTTTTTTTTAATTTTAAAGTTCCTAATGCTCAATTTTTGACTGGAGGAACTAGACGCCATTTGTACTGTCTCAGTGTTCCTAATATCTGTGTCTGACATAAAACCGCACTTGTCTTCACCTTCTTGGATGCAAACTGAGCTGTCCGTATAGCTCCAACTTTCAGTTCTGTCATTGCTGGCACTATAGAACTCTCTCCCTCAATGTACTCCAAGACCAGGAGGATGGACTTTACCGGTTCTTGCAGCTCTAAACAGATATGAATCAAGTAAACTTTAGAACACTCAGAAATGAAGGATTATCAGTCTGGAATGGCACAAGTTACATCAAGATGGTTCAACGCAAAGGTGATGTTGTGGCAAATCCATTAGCTGGCATAGATAAAGATATCCTTCTTTAGTTTAACTTACAAGGTTAATGAAGAATTAAGCAAAGGAGGTTTTTCATGATTTGCAATTGCAAACTGTTAATTGTTTTTAGGTTTCATGCTTATTTTCTAGCCTTGTGGCACATACATTCTATGAGTGCTGTATTCCTATTGTGTATTATGTGTGCTTGTACTCCTTTATACCTTAGTAACTAGATGTTGTTTATATACAGTCTCTGAACATAGATCCTGTCCACAGAAATTAAATAATGAGGATAAATTCTAAGTCCTGAAAAAGTGTGTCCATTTCTGAATTCATAACAATATAATCAGGAGAGTCCTGAATACGTTAATATATGTGAGATAATTTTATAAATTTTTAATGCAAGTCAGAAGTAGCAGAAAGCAAATAAAGTATAATTCTTTGCAGTATTATTGGATTACAGTAGCTTTTTGCAAGGTAAGTTGCAAAGACAGATGATCTTCATTAAGATAGGACTGTATTAAAATTTGGAGAAACTCTTTCCTTAAGGGAAAGTTTTCTGCTTCATGTTGTGAATACAGGTTACACTATAATATGTACTCATTCTGACTCTAGAAAAGTTATCTTTAATTTACTTTTTCTTAAAGTAAAGGATGAGGAATAAGCGTATGTCTTATCATTCATTATTTTTCAGTAAAATGCAAGTGGCAGCACGTTACCTCCTTTTGCTGCTTGCTGCGATGACACAGGTAATGTTACAGCCAAAGACTCTATGGGCACATCAAGTGGAATTCCCCCTTCCACAAACATTGGATGATATCTTGCTGCACCCTTTAAGTGGATCACATGGGCTACTTCCTATATAGGACAAGAATGCTGCAAATGTAGGTTACAGCTCAACTACTGATATAATTGGAATCCTGACACAATGGCAGCAGTTGCACAAAAACAATTGCATAATCTGCCTATACTAATGCCAAGAGACACTACACTGTAACGTAAGAATCCTGCTTCTTCCCCTTGCCTTATGTAGTCATGCACTTTCACTTTAAACAATTTCATTCTCAGGACACATGCCTTAGGAGGGTACTGACAAACTTGACACTAGAGCCACTAAAACGCAAAACTTATCAGTTGCCAAACTTAGCTGAAGTTTGTGAATGAGGATCAGCCTCCATGCATCTTCAGCTTATTCTGATTTTCATTCTTACCTGCAATTCCAAAAATAGTTTGGAGATACAAACTTGAAAGGAGAGGAAAAAAATTTAAAAAACCACAACAAAACAAACTTATTTGCTCACTACCAGTTTCTACTGTGTTTGCAGTACCTGCTGATGGTCATTAGCTAGCACTCTTCATTAACTTTTGCTCAACCTCTTTGGGAACATGGTGGTAAGCCACCCGTGATGCTACCAGCCAGTACATCCTGATTTTGGCTCTGTCTAAGCTGAATTGCCACTCTACAGATGGAAACCTCTTCCCTCATGCAGAGGGACAGCAGAACAGCTTCCTGGTATTCAGTGCACCTGACAGTTTGCACTGTGCAGGTATAGCTCTCCTCTCACACTGCCACTAAATGCTACTTGTAGGAACCCCACATGGAGCTGTGCTCAGTGTGGCAAAAGCATAGCTCCCATCCCCTCTCAGTTACACAGTGGTGACAGCAGGGTAGAAGATGGGACTGAATCCCAAGTTATTATTATTATGAATATATTCATAAATAACTGAATATTTAAAACCTGAAGAAAGCCAGTGGCCCAAACCTGCCATCTCCTACCTGTATCAATGAATCTAACAAAGGCAATACATTTGCCTACAAATCTTGTCCACTAGATGTAATTATTTGAAATTCCTACTAAGATCCACCAACATAGAGTTGTGTATCAGACTTGGATTTCACAGTCTAGATATGTGGATCGTCTCACCTTGCCAAAGAGCACAACCTTGAGACGGTCAGAATAGTATAGACTTTCATGGTCAGGGCTGAAAGTGACAATAAAATCCTGGCTCTTCCCAGCAAGAATTTCTCCTTCTATTGGAAAGATGCTGAACACACTTAAACCATTATAGTTCTGTGTTCCTGGAGAACAGAAGCAATGATAAGAATAAGAAAAGAGGAAAGCTTTGTTTTATTTCATATATATGTTAAACCCATTTTATTTTTGTTGGAATGGCAAATAAATAAAAACTTATACATGGCTTTGCAGCAGAACAGGGTATTAGAAATACCAGACAAACCCATCTATCAGTTCAATGCATTCATCTCGTTTGGTGATGCTTTTTCAGTTCCTCCTTTTCTGTATTCTGCAGTCTACTTTCACAAAGATGCACATTCCCAAATGTACTCTTTAACATGCAAATACTATGTGGGTTATTTAGATTCAAATACTAGTAACTCCTTACTTGAGGATATTTGCTCAGGCTGCGTAAACTTACAGCTACCCCTTGTTGATAGAATTAGTACAACTCCTACTGGGGAAACAAAATTATGCCCTTAATTACAGCCATGTGATGACCCAGGTTTTGGTAATTGGATAGATCTAATAGCAGCAACACTTTGTCCTGTTATGTACTTTGAGTCTTAGCAAAAAAAAAAAAAAAAAAAACACACACGGAATTTTACCAACAAAGTCTGTTCTTTGCAAAGAGGATGTCATGAAGGAGGGAAGTCTCTGCTGATCTTTTTCCTTTGTTGAAGAAAGTGAATCCAGTTGTATAGAGTATCTCAGGTTCAGTGCGGAAGTGTTCTGTATCTGATGACAGAATTTACAGAAGAGCATTTTCATTAGGAAAAATGGTTCTCAAGCCTGTAGGATCCATAATTTGTAAACTGGCTGAATTTACTTTTCTGCATTACTGCACTATTTTGTGCCTAGAAGCTATAAAAAGCGTGTAGGTTATTGCCATCCATGTGTCATGCCCATCCCTGCTCCCTCCCCCAACAATAGGGACCAGCCTCCTCAAGTCTTGCAGCAAGCAATGCATTTTCATCATTGACATGCTTGGACAAAATTAAATACCTGAGAAGAAAAAAATTATGCCTAGATCCTGGCCTGTTTCCGAGACTGTGAGAATTTGCAGTATAGGAATGAATGAGTGAATCAGTTAAACTTAAACAATCAGTAAACCCAGATTGTACCATGACAGACCCTCACGTGCTCTTTGTAGGACCAGTTTGCATTTCACTCATTTCACTCTTGCCCTTTGTAGAGGCACAGAAAGCAGCTTCAATTGGGATAGCAGTAACAGAGAGAAGACAGAGGACAAATATTTCTGACATTAGTGCTGGTGAAGCCATTTCTGGCTTTGCATCCCTCTACATGCTGGCTAGAGCTAAGGAAAAGATCACATAGGTGCATTTCTTTTTCTTTTATAGATGGTACTGCATCTCTACTGTACACGCAGAATCCTGCGGGCAATGCAGAAACAGCTAAAGAGATCCTCCCCACACAGCTTTGTTACCTTTAGCCTTAAACTGTCTCAGCCTCAAATCACTCTGCCAGATGCACTTTTAAAGTTGCATTCTTTTGCTACTCAGTCGTACATCCCACCAGAGTGGAAATTACATAATTCTTCTTCATATGTCCAAAAATGGCTGGTAGGCTTTTCAGTTCAGCATAGAGTTCATAGAGATCAGCAGTTACCTTGAATGTGGAAGTTGCTTTCTCTTTGGCTATGACATATCCCATATTGAGTACTTCTTCCACAGAGCAGGCAATTGATGGCATCACCCCGCGACCAGTGATGCTTAGAGTTAGATTGGTTTTTACAGTCCAGATGTCCAATGTTTCAAAAAACTGCAAAGAACACCTCCATTAGTCGGCCCATTTGCTGGAGGAACATGCAGACTAGAATGGACCATTACTACAGAACTTCTGGATTCAGTACATGGACAAAGAGCCAAATGTTCAGAGGGGCTATGTACAGGTAGCAAAGTTTTGCTTATTATTAGGCAGACACATCTGAGTCAGCTTATATATGTATATACACACACACACACTACACAGCCCCTTATCTCCGTCTCCCTTCTTTTTCCCCCCTTACCGTTGTAACTCTTACTCACCCATTTATTCTCATTTGGGCAAAAAGAGATGATAAGAGTTTTATCTTCCCCTGGATGAAGTGTTCCAACTGGTCTGACCAACAGGAAGGGACCATTGGGATTCAAAATTGAGAATCCGAGCTAAAATAGTGCAACTTAAGGAAAAAAGTTTATAAACAATAATTGGGGGAAAAGATATAAGAACAGATTTTATGTATTGTTCAGATCAAAGATGAGTGTTACCCAACCACCCACAAGAAGCTTTTCCAGAGATGAGTAATTTTTCTGTTCTCTGAGTTAACTTTAGATTTTTTTTGCACACAATTCAAGTAGCCAAAAGATTATTTTCCAATTACTAACATCTCCATGGAACTCCATTTCCAGCTTTTGCCTGGAATGGGTCATTAACACCTTAAGATCTGAGATAATGGCATTTTCCCATACTATCCCACACTTAAACCAGGCAAGATGAAAGCCAATGTAATAGCCTATTCTGATGAGGTATTCAGAAATTCAAAGTAGTACTGTGCAAAAATCGACTTGTTGGTTCCTTTCCACATGTATGTCATACTGTATTGAAGCCAGCTTTGTTTTCAGTAGCTTTTACTGTTTAGAAAGTGCTAAGTGCTTATCAAGTTTAGTTCTATGCACAGTATTTCCAGTCAAAAGAGTGTGATAAAACTAGCTTCCAGTGGGTCACCTAGACTTGTCCAATATAGTCTTCACGTCACCTCCTGTCTTACTGTGGAAGATATGTATTAAGTCTGAAATATGCTATCTCCTCCTTGCTCTTGTGGCAAACAGGTCCTATTTTTGGTACAGCATCAAATTAATTGAACAGCAGATCAACCTACATGTTCCAAAAAAAGGATACTTCCAGCTGCTCTGGGGAGATATTTTGTATTGTAATTTGCTTAATTCTTCTGTGGCCTAACAGGAATGAAAACAACATTTCAAAAACTGTTGATGCTCATTCATGTATTGCCGTTCCTCCTTTTTACTTCTGTTTCTACCTGTGCTAAATGTTTATTGCATTTATATGGCTAATGCATAGTCATAGCTCTCCAAAATGTTTTCAAATTTGGACAGTCACTAGTAGAGCTCCCAATTCCATGTTTCAGGATCAAGCAGACTTTTATATGCCTCAGCTGGCCAGGTAGGCTCCTAATTTTCCATCTGAGTGCCTATTACAGGGCTAATCTCCGTATCGACTTTTGAGGGAGAGAAAAAAAAACAGCACAATATAAAAGCAAATAAAATAAAAAATTATGCTCAGAAGAAATTAGAGACAGATAGAAAAAAAAAATCCCAAAACTTGAATTCAAATTTCATACCTATTGCAACATCACCAAAATTGACCGTGTTTTTTCCATTATCTGAAGTGACCACAACAGACGGTGCTACAGCTGGACAGTGCAGCTCCAGATACAAGGTATTATAAGGGCTGGGGAGATAGTAAAGAGGTATTTGCTCTCTTATAAACTAGCATCAAAAATCTGTTCCTATTTTGTTCATGTGGCAGGGTATCATTACATTGGCATAACAGAACAAATAAATACTTTTTGGTGGCTGCTTCTCCTCCTGTGTATGCTGAAGCAGAAAGATGAACTATATCTGGCTATTAAACTTTTCATACAGTTACTCTCTAAGATGCTTTGATATTAATGTGTAAGATTTTTATCTAAGTAGTTTTATCTAATTATTTATATCTAACAAACAATTAAAATCCGAAAACAAATTTTCTTCCAAAATGAATAAATAACATGCCTACCACATTCCTCTGAAATTTCTGACCTATCATGAATTACAAATATCTTGTTTGAAGCTATTTGCTTGTGGAATACCTGCAGCTTAGATCTTCAGAGTTTCTCTTTCCATCAGTATCTCCACTTGCAACAAAGCAGGGTATGATGTATCTTTCAAACCTCCCTCTGAAATTCCTCATCAGGAAAATATGGGCTGCCATATAAGCTTCAGAACTAGAAAATCCAGGAGCAGGAATCATGATAGTAAGAGACAGAACAACAAAAAAACCACTAAATAGATATCTGCTGAGCAATTTGTATTTGTCTTCTTATTCATACTTTCAAAATGGAACTAAACAGTAAAACTACGCAAGCACAACAATGGATTTGTTCCACTGAATATGTGATTTGTTTTTCTGGTCAAAAAGAATAAAAATTACAAATTCAGATACTTGATGGCATACTAAAGATGACAAAGTCCTCAGTATGATTCCTTTATGTTGAATACCTAAGTATTCCAGTATCTAGTACTTCCACATCATTTCAACAATATGTGCACACACATCACAAACCACATTTCTGTAACACAGTATGGCTAGCAATATTTTAAATTTGAAGTTTGCAAATATGAACTTCATTTTTATGACCTGTACTAAAAGTACTTTAAAATTATAATTAATGGTTGCAATGAACATAGAATTTTATTCAAAAATAACTAGCACCCAGTGCAGCAAAATGCCTGGTGTTTAAACATGTATTTACTTTCAAAAACTTCTTCCAAGTTCCTCAAATTTGGCAAAAACGTGGTTCTAAAAGTTGAATTATATGCCAAACCAGGGACCTTAAGTATCAGATTTCGGATCTAAGAATCCAAATTGCTAGATAACATGTGCCATTAATAATTCTCAGTGAGCTATACATATTGTAAAATGACTATTTAAAAGGTTTATTTTACAGTATTGTTACATTTCTAACTAATATGATAGACTTTCATATTTTCTGATACATTCTTTGAAGTCCTCAATTGCCCTGAAGCATATTAAAGGGGTTCTTTACCTTACTTGAGATGTTACCACTGGGTGGCTTAAAAGCAGTACTAACAGCATTTGCAATATGACTAAAGCTATTTCTTCAGCACTGTTTGATTTCTTGTCTACCTGTAGGGTTTAGTAGCTCTATTAAACCACTTATAAGAGGTATTTGTTGCCTATATAACAGATGATGCTTTTACTGACTTACTTAGGTTTTATCTCTTTGGATTTTGGTTGTTCAGAACTATATACAGAAGTCAGATTTTTACTGCCTCCGTCTCTTGCAAGCTGTCTGGAGGACTGCTGTCTGATAAAGGAAATGCTTAACTTCTTCATTTCTCTCTTCTCATCTTTCTTCTTTGTCTGTAAATACAGAGACATCTCTCAGAAATTATACACTGAGATTTCTAGCGCTGAGGAATTTGGATAACCAGTTCCTACTGGAAAGGCAATGTGATGATGCAGTGAGGAAAGCAACATAACAGCAGGATTAGGGTTTAAAAAAGTAGACGCAGTAGTTGTTACACTTTTAGTAAGATAAAATTAATAGAAGTGTTTTACTCCATCTTAAAAAAAAAAAAAGTACTCACAGCAGTTAGCTGCAATTCCCATTTTTTTAAAAAATGCTCTAGGAATGCTTTTGAAAGTCTTATGAAATTGTTCAGTCACTTTGTCCTGTATACACAGGTCATAGCTCATGAGTTTGCACTTCATTAATATGCAGATAATTTTAGGATAAAAAATACCGCTTGGAAAACCAAATAACTGAAATTGACAGACCAATAGCACGTGCTAGTTCTTAACATTTCTTACTTGTATTTCTGCCCTTGTCACAGCTGCTCTGCAAAGCCCAATTGCCTCTTCTCTGATTAGCTGATCTGACAATGTTGGTCTGAAGGACACTTGAATCAAGCTTTTCTGGAAGTGTGAAAGCACAGACAAGAATGATTCAGCCCCTCACACATGTGTTATACCTACAAAGCACATTAGGGGCATACATTTGACAGTAAACTTTGATAAATGCAATTTTGTTTTTCCAAGTGAATGAGATGAACCTAAGGATAAGGTCACTTACAGCTTCTTAGAAGCACACTGTGTTAAAGTGCCTTCACATTTACCACTGTTTTTGATATTTAAAGGTTCTCCAAATAAATCATAACAACACTAGGGAAAATATTCAGGGTGACAGTTCCCATAAAGCATTAGCCAGATTTGATGGTTAACCCCTTGATTCCAATTTACAGCATTATTTCAAACAATACAAAACATTCCAGCTTTGCTAATAATACAACATATGTTTTGATCTTAACTTCCAGGCTACAGCATTTGTAGGGATGTAGATGACCAAAAGATTTATTAGAAAGTTTGACATTTGAAAGTGATTTTACCTTCCCAGGTAAAACAGTCCCAACAGAAGGCGTAATTGTCACAGGACAGTCTTCAGGCACATGGAATTCAAAGGACGTGGGTCCAACGTGGGCAATTTCCCCATTGCCAATTCTTGGGACAGCATGACTACAGTGGTTGACACTTACATGGGAATTTATCACATACAGTGTTGCTGTAGATACACCATTTAAAGCTGTTGCAGCAAACTGAACTAAGGAATGAGACAATTCAAGAGGTGGGTGGACTCCAACTGCTTTGCATGACAGCTTGAATTGTCTAAAAATAAACATATCATAAATTGTCTCAGCATAAAATAGGCTCTTAACCAACCCAGAAACTAGGGAACCGATCCGGTAGTCCCTATTCAAACAGAATTTCTCAAGCCTGCAATGGGAATTTTGCCTAAAGATGAACAATAATACTATCTATTTTTCATGCACAATTGGCTAAAGATTCCCTATTTGAATTCTTCCTCTGTGAACTTCTGGAAATGCATCCAATTAAATCAGAGTTTTTGCCATCATTATTTTAGTAGCACTAGCTTACTGAATGAACCATTTTTAGGGAAAAAAAATTTTTGATAATTCTGCCGAGAAAGCAAGCAGAACATTGCAGGTTAAGAAAACTTGAGGCAAACTAACAGCTGGGATATGTGACATGGATAAATTATCTTTTCCTGTCCCATTTGGAGTAAAACGCAAAACTTATCTCAGTAAAGACAGACATGGAAATGAAGAATGAAACTACCAGGAACTGAGCAACTAACTAGAGAATTTCTGCCTGCCTCACAGTTCTATCCTACAGATAACATCACCTTTTCAAGGTACATAGTTGATTTCATTACTGGACAGGCTTATCTTAACTGTGGAAATCCACTGTGATTTAGACTTCCACATTACCTATTACTCAACCAGTTTCATAACATACCTATTAATCTCTGACTTGCAGGTTAGTTTAAAGTCGTATTCTTTTGCCTTGTTGGCTTTAAAGATTATGTCCAATGTCAGGCTTTCCAGGGGAAGAAGAATTCCCAGTCCATCATTGGGCTGAACTTCAACAAACTTCAAAATAAAAAGTTAAGAAAAAAATTATTAAACATATAAGTGTCAGGAAACAGAAACCTCTTGGTTAGAAGCTTTCATCTGAGTTAGTGATTAGTGTCTGGCTGATTTGCAGGATTCTTATTCCAGAATAACTTGAAAGGCAGAAGTTTAATAACTCAGACTTTTGTACAACCTTATCGCCTGACTTCATACCATCTATGGTAATCACCTTTTCTCAACGATGTTTGTTTACTCTTCATATAAAATTGAATGAAATATAATAAAGTTCTCAACTGTTCCCCTGAAACTTTGAAAAGCTAATGCTTGTGTGATGTGCAGATACCATGGTGATAAGTAGCAGCTTAGTACCTAGAAATGTACATTGCCTTGTGTTTATATGAGCTGATAGTGATTCAATAATGTCTTTCAATCACAGTTAAAGCTAATCATGAATCACCTCCTGTGCAATAAAACTCGGAAAGCTGAAGATTCCGATTTCGGTCAGCTAACTCCTTGGGTTTAGTCCTTAAAGGAGCAGAGAAAGGGAGAATGTCTAATTAAACATCAGGTTCCTGCTACCTCAGATTCCAGCATGCTAAATGGTTTCTTATGTGATCACCACAGTATTGCGTCAAGCTTGAACAGTTGATTTTTCAAGATAAACAAACTAAACAAAACCATAGCCCTCTAGAAATTGGTGTTCCCTGTGATTAATTTAGCCTACATGTGAACTAACAGTCAATCAGACAATGCCCAGTCACAGTTCAGGGAATGTTTCCCAAAAGGCAGTTCGGGCATGGCCCCTGCTTTGAGAGCAAATAGAGTTTAGGCATTTGGACAAAAACTACGCCATATCCATCAGTGTCCAGGCCAGAGCAGTGTCCCTCAGCCTGTTTTATTTAGTAGCATATATGCAGCCTATGAGTATGAAAGAAAAAGGCATCAAATATTCTGTTATTAGATCTCCTGGTGGAAAAAAAAAGCATTCTAATAGGATAAAGTTAGCCTATTAACGTTAGGTAGGGGAGAGGAATACAATCTCCCTGGAGATGTGTACTGCTGGCATAAGATATGCTGCTTGGAAAACGCTTATGGTAGTATAAGACAGAATTTACACAAATCCATTACAGAACTAATCTGCATGTCTCCTCAGTGCTGCTGGCAGGAGTATTTCCACAGGTTTGCAAGAACCATCTCAAGAGTTATTTACACTCACATTGAAATGCAATTTCAAAACAATTGTGTGCATTTTAATAGAAGCTGTGTAGGAAGGATAACCACATACCTCTGGAAGTCCCACAAATCCAAACTCTTGTGGCAAGATGGATTTGTTTGTTAGTGTGACATTTGTCTGCACAGCTTCATAGATTGTGCAGTATCCAAAATTTATTTCTGCTGGACTAATTTCCAAATCAGAAGTAGTAACAATTGCATGGACAGTAAAATTAACAGGTTTAGTCTGAAACAAATGCAAGAGCGCTGGTAAAAACTGTACCTGTAGTATTGTGAGCATGAGATTTAACTGAAATGACATTCAAAAAGATAACTACAAAAAAAAAAGACTACATTTCTACTCTATTCCTTGACAGTAACATATCTATTTTGAACTTCAGTCTCACTGATCTCTAAAATTAAAGGAGTACAAAATGCCTCTTTTTTAAAGAAAACTGCCAAAAGAATCTGTGTTTATCATCTTAAATTCCATATGCTAGAGTAGAATCAAACCTGCATCTCCATGAAACGTATGCCTTAAGAATTTGCTACCTCTGCAGTACAATACAGATCAGAATAAAAATAGTATGCTGTGGTATCTTAGAACTCACTGATATAAAAAAAATCTCTAGGGAATAAAGGAGCAGTAAGGAGAAAGGATTTAACTTTCTAAATTTTATATTTTAAAGGAACTAACCATTTTGTATTACCACTTTAAGCATCTTTTACTATTGTCATAGAACTTCAACTAGTAAAGGACTAACTAAGATTTGATATCATTAAGCAAATACTCAACTAAAATAATAGATGTACATCTATTGTCAGTCTGATAACCACCATAATAAAATCACTCACCTTATCTGCAATCAGTATTGTCATTGGAACTTCCAGAACTCTCGTCTCCTCATCAAAATAGCTCCCTGCATCTTCAGGAAGAGAGTGCCTAAAATTGAAAAATACGCTCAGTTTCATAAAAGCATCTTGACTGTTTTCTAGCAAGTGGGAATAATAAAATGGATTTGAGGGATGTATTCCTGAACCAAATAAAAAATAAAACAATTCCATTTAATAAAGATCCAAAAGTTTTATTCTTCAAGGCTTGTTCTCTAACATAGTATTTGTGCTCAAATAAGGGTATTCACATACTTGTGGTTAACACCACAAGTTACCACTGTGGTAAACACCAGATCCAATGCTTCACTGAAATGAAGTCTAATTAAAATCTTGTCCTACATAAGCAAGTGTTAGACAAAACGCAACATAAAAAGGCCATTCAAAAAAAAAATCATGACCTACGATCAACGGCCTTCTGCCCAAAAAAGTGCAGTCATATCAGAAATATTGTGGACTTGTCATGGTTTTCCTGGAGAATGGCATACCTCCAGGCAATCTGCTCTGAGCAGGTATGTACTGATTACGAGGATATCTAGCAATGTAGTTAAAATAATTGACCTTGTATAGTAATGCTGGATTTTTTTGATGACAGGTTTGTGGACATACAGATGTTTTAAGAGAGTTATTTACTGGCAGCTGCACTCGTTTATGTTCTTACCAAACACCCCATCCAAATGCTCCTTAAAATTCTGAAAAATTTAAAGCTTCCTTTATCATCAGAATGTAAGCCTTCTGCGCCTTCACTGCAACCACAGCTAATAACCAAACCTACCTCAGCAACCTTTTGACACTGATGACAACTAATCGCTAGCCCATTTGAGACATTACCAATTGGATCACAAGATACCAAAAAGACATAGATAAAGGCAAGCTGCGTAAGCGAAACAAACTTGGAGACCAATAGTGACTGATTACATACCAGATTAGTCACTTATAGGGAATACGTGGGTTTTCTGTTGCTGAAGCATCTTCATATTCTAAGCTCAATTTCAGAGCTTCAGGCCAAGACAATACAAAAGCTCTAGCATTTTTAGCTCCGCTGGTCTATTAATAGTGCCTTACAGCATCAGAGCTGATTGTTTCCTGTTCTTAGGTCTGCACAGTGATACTGTTCTTGGTAGCAATTCTGTAATTGCATGTAATTTTGTAGTGTATTTTTAAAGAAAGTTAATGAATAAATTATACTCGCTCATAATCATCATGGTGATCTGTAATCTTACTGGCTTTTGTTTTGCAAATCTGAAATGCAACTTTAGAAGATCTGTGTTGTTCAAATGGATTGTAGACTTGCTTAAAGATAGGAACTGAGTTAAATATAAGGAAGGAATGAAGTGTCAGTTTTCCCTGTGCAACTGGACATTACAATAACATAAGTTGTTCACATAGTGCAGAATAACCCAGAGAAAAAATAATCATAACTAGAGCCCATTGCTGTGTGTGTATAAATTAGCTGTTATGCCTTGGGAATAACAGTGAAATCCTTCCTATAGTTCTCCAAAAGCATCATTAACATGAAAATTAACATGACAAGCATAAGAGACAAATCCGATTTAGGCTGCCAGCAGCAGCAGGACTAGTTCTAAATGCAGAAAAACTAAAAGACAACATTGGGGAGTTCTGAAAGTCCAAAAAAAAAGAGAACTTGCTTTTCAAATATGCAGAAATTGTCTTTGCTTGAAGCAGCCATATAGTTAAGAGCATAGTATTATCTTACCAAGCATTTCAATGTGCACAAAATACTTGGGAAAGCTTCCCAAGCTACCCATCTTTTCAGTTAGTCTTCCTCATTAAGAGTTTCTTTTATTTTGTTTTGTTATTAATGCAGCTATTCTTTGTCCTGAAAAAAGTGAGCTTGTAGTACTAAGTCAATTTCCAGAAATGTGTCACTAGCTCAGTGCATTACAACAGGCATTGTACCAAGCTCATCTTTCTCTCTTGTTCTCTCTCATATACACACACTCTCCCCTTTTAAAATTCATCTGTATGGTAAAACAGCATGATACTTATCTTGTGTGTCAGAAGCGTCTTAATCTCATCAAATCTCCTTTCTGAAGCTTTCTCATTTTTCAAAGACAGATTAATGGTCTAAATCTAAGCTATACTTCTACCACTCAGTAAGTGTGTTTTACAGCATTGAACTTTAAGAACTGAAAAATATCACAACAGTTACTGTTGTTGTAATCTGATAGGATGTGAAGTGTTGGAAAATTTGTAAGTGCTTGCATTTTCTTTGAATACTAACCTGATGATAGTTTTCATGTCAGTCATTTTGGAATGTACAGGGTGTGATTTCCAGAGATGTTGAGCACATCAGTGAAAATCCCAACATACTTATATGAAAGGAGCTAGATAATCTCTATGAAAAAAGCAGCAGGTGTGCACCAGCAGTCACTGCATCTAATGCTTTCGTTTTTGTCCTTACAAAATCTGGTTTAAATTTGTAATAACTGAAGCCACTGAAGTATTTGGCTCTATCTGTACTGAGATCTAATCATTCAATTTATTTTTCAAAGGAAACATCCTGCTAGATTCTTTAAAATAACAACAAAATTAAGATAATTAACAATGGTCAACAAGAATCTTGCATTTAAATTTAAAAAAATTGGACTTGTTAATTTCTATAACTGCGTTATGCTTGCATACGTAGATGCATTATGAAGTGGAATAACGAAACTTGCTAGGATAGGGCTTTTAGCATCTTAGAAGACGTTGTTATGTAAAATGACACATGAAATAAAATACATTCATATTTTAGAGAAAATGATACTGGGTAGGAGGGATACAAACAGGAAGTCCAACTGTTTTTACCTTACTTAGCAAGCACACGAGTACTTGTCCAAAAGTGATTTCATCAGTGATGTGTGAAGTAGCCACCTGCCTAGCTAACCTCTCTTTTGTGTAAGGATAGATTCCCCACAGAAATGGGAGCAATCTACCAGGAATGCAACTGTTAAGATTTTCACACTGCTGCTGTCGCCACAGGAAAAGCATTTCCTCACAGGAACGCGATCCAAGTTAATTTCCTTCTTGAGCATCTGGCATCTTTTACCAGAGAGACAGGAGGGAGACTGGGACTACACTAACACCAGCAATGTGGAGTCCAGCCTACTCCACTCAGGAGGTGTGAAGGTTAAAAAACAGACAAAAAAACCAAACACACCACACACAAGCACACCCACCCACCCACCTTGGACTTGCTCAGATTTTATGCTGACAGCCTCTTATAGATATTATCTTAAATACCCAAAAAGATATTGTTAGATTACCTGGGCAGAAACTTCAGCTGCACACTGAAGGATGACTGAGCTTGAATGTAACCTGTTTTTGGAAGAAGATCCATATGCTTACTCAATTCTTTGCATACTTCAAACTTCAAACGCAGTGCAGCTTTTGCTCTGCAAAGAGATCAGACATGCTTAGGTGGCTTAGGGGCTACTCATTTTGCCAGATCAGCAACTCCATTTGCTCTGGGAGTTTGTTCCTCTTCCCCCTCTTGCATCACTCCTCTACATTAGGATTGCAACTATTCTAAGCCTCCTTTGAAAATGAAGGGCATGTAAAACTGTTATAGCAAAATCACAGAGTTACATTCTCTTTTAAGCTAAGTATAGAAAACAAGATTTTGGAAGTACTGTGAGCAAACTCAGCTGTATTTCAAGCAATGTATACAGCTGATGGGAACATAATTATCAAAGTGCATAGTGATAAATCAGGTCAGCAGAAAGTCAAAGTCAAATTATTGTGAAATATAAGCTAATTATTTGTTCCTAATATATAGTCCCTCTATCTGAATCAATAAGAATGATTCATGCAATGTTTCTGAGACACCTAATTGGTCCTAGCTGCAGCCACAGAACCTACTCAAGATGGAAAAAGAGTAGTCCTCTTGTAATGCTGTGATGCTACAATGTTTTGTAGTGATCAGGGGTAAGTATGATGTAACAAATGAAAATCTGTTATCCTTTCTGAGAAATAGAAAAAAGACCACCAGCCACCCTAAGTGGGGCCAAAGATATCTAGATGCTGTTTAAGCTGCTAATAAGCACTGAATGTTCCAGCAAGGAGCTAGGAAGAAAAAGAAAAAAAAAACACAAAAGAATGAACCTGGAAGGCCATAGTACACCTAAATAGAACATCAAAATGTAGCCAGTTTGTGAATTCTGCTCATCCACGTTCTTATAACAATCTCAAAGCCTTCAACCATAGACAATTAAGTCTGCATAGGTAGGAAAAATACCCAAATTCAGCTGTGCTGGATGAGTTTCTTACACCAGGAAATCTAATGAGAGCTTTTTTTGTTTGTTTGTTTTTCTGAAAATTGTGGTGACCTCTTAAAGAGATGTGAATTCACAAGTCTCTTGTAACTTCTCTTGCCAACAGGGATTCTACAGGCCTAGATGCCATAGTGTGGCTGAGCTGATGCTGCCAGATCCTCTGCTAGACAGCTTGGGATCAATTTGCCCTATGAATGGTATACTGGAGGCTAAGGAAACATCTCATTGTTTACTGAATTCTGGCCATACTATAATATGGCGATAGCCACAAACCATATCCTGCTTTGGAATTTAATGTTTGTGTGCAAAATTGCCAAGCAATTTACAAATATTTCAGCTTGTCATTTTCCTTCTCTCTGACTGGTTTACAAGCTGTCAGTCCAGATGGTCTGCTCTCAGTCAACAACTGCAGCATAAGGTACTGAGAGCCTGGAATGATTTCTGACCGTTGACGGACTAAGAACTGCATACTGCTTCATTAAATCAGTGCAAATTATAACCTGCCAAAGAAATTACACTTCAAAATGGTTTATTTTGGACAAGATTCTGGTGAAACACTTTCGCCCTCTAGGCTCCATATTTATGCTTCCTGATTACCATATTCTATGTCATCAGAAAGAAAGAATAGTATTAACTAACAATTTGCAATTCTACAGAGCTTGCTGGGACACTTTAAGTGCCTGAGATATCTAACTACAGAAAACCTCATCTCCTACTTATGTTATAGACTATAATAATAACTTCTGTTCCTGTATCTTAATACTGCTACAGTTTTTTTCTGCTCTGTTGCTGTTGGGAGTTTGTGTGTACTCAGTGAACAAAAGGCTATTCTAACAGAACATCCCTCACAAGTGCTGGGTCAGATTTTGCCCCAAAAATCTAGAGGATCATCTCTGAAATTTTTGCGATTTTTTCCAATAACTAGTTAGGGATTGGAGAAAACATTTGTAAGAACAATCCAGAATTTTTAAAAACAATCTTTAAAATATCTAATTAACATTTAAGTAATCTGTATTTTACAAGTTATGGTAATAAGATTTCAGAACTACTGGATTTAAACCTTAGTTCTCTCTAGCTAAGGCATTTCAGGAAATGTTAGACAATAGCCTTTTCAGCTGGGTTATGGTAACCATAGCTTTGGTCTCCTTAAGTGCTTGGTTGCTATGAGCAAAAGCTTACTTCAATGTAACACCTCTTTAGCTGATGTACAGTTTGTATGTTTACTGTTATACCAAACTACTGTCTTGGTTTGTATGTTGACAGCAGTTTGGACACTTCATTGCTAGCTTGATAACTGTCCTTGGCTCTGGATCCTTTGTCTGTGCATAGTTGCAGAACACAGACCTTAGCAAGGCTACCTTTCCGCAGTCTTTCACCACTGCGATCAAAGGACAGCTTACTTAACAGTCTAACCACTACCTTCCTGAGAGATTATTCCCAATTAATAGCAAGATACAGGTATTTTCACCAGTTCTTAATCCACTCTGTTTGACAAGCAGTTTGACATGTACAATGAGGAATCCTGTTTCTGATTCCAGCTACAGAGTAATTTTAATAGCTACTAGAGGAAGCGGGTTCTCAGGCATCCCAAATGCAGCTGAGATGAAGCGTATCCATGTTGGCAGGATAAAAAGCTGAGACATGATACTCTTGCAGATGCAATGCTTGGGATTTCAGCCCTGATGAACAAGGATAGAACAAGGATAATCCTTCCCAACGAGTCAGAAGGAGAGATCAGATTTGCCAAGATAAACTGGTATATTAGTGTGCTACATATTAAGCGCCTTTAATATAGTGAAAGTTGCCAGAAGTCCAGAAGGATGATTTTTCCCATGGTTAAGAAGTTTTGGCCTAAGCTGTATGACAGCTTCTATCTTTGGAATACCTAGAAATCTTAAGGTTTCATTAGGAGAGTTATTTTGTTTCTATACTTCTGATTTTTTCCTTGAGTTATATAGACCAAGTCAAATCTCTTACATAACTTGTACTTGTCACATTTGTGAGCTGAATTTCTGAGATAACAGCTCTACTCATTTCTTTCCAACTGCAAAGAATTTCTGCAGCCTGTAATTAATTCTGGTAGGAGGTTAGAATGGATGCCTTCTAACAGAAATATTAAAAGCAAAAAACAAAAGAAAAATTCACATTACCCTCCTCTCCCCCAAAACCTCATCCCAATTTTAACAGCATATATTTAATTAGAATCTAAGATAAGGAGATTGTTGTTAAAATAGGGATACTGAGCATCTAGCCGATAGTCACGTATTAGACAGAGAAGACACCCAGCACCCACAAGACAGTTTGTTCACATAACCACTTTCTAATAGCAAGAAGTGTCTGGAAGCCAGTGAGCTAAAATAATTATCTTTACATTACAGACAAGCAGAACCAGTCTTTGGATGTTACTGGTGTGGATTATGGAAGTACCTACACAGACTTTTTCTTTAAATTGCTATTTGTATCCATCACTCTACTGCAATGTGCAACGTCTACATGGAAACGCAAAAGGATTGAAGTGATTTAACCAGCATCTTATCCCTAGTCTGGAAAGATTAGGGATTGAATTTCTATTCCAGTACTCCCAAGTACTGCTGAGTCCACAAGGCAAAAGGTAAAAGACATCAGAAAGTTCTCAGACATCCCCAGAATATCCTAACCAAAGATATCCTATCCTATTAGGATAGCCCATCCTCTTTTCAAAAATATACATAAAAAACACAACATGCTAGTGTAAAGACTTGCAAGGTCTAGCTTTACCTACAAACTCAGTGAAGTTCATAGTGGATAAGGGGAAGGGGAAATGCAACTGACCCTTTCAGCTTTGAACATACTAGCCAGATTAGACTCAGTCATGCTATCCAGTACCTAACAGTACTCTAAGTTCAACAAACATTTGACTTGAATACAGTAGCTGTAGAATCCTATAAGGAAAAGTTGTCATGAAGCTGGCTTCCAGATCATAAATCTTTCATGGACTGTTAATAAAATATAACAAAGAGAAATTACAAAAATATTCCTTCATGAGATTTCCTGACTGAATCAGTTATACCCTGATGTTCACTTTAAAAATCTTAGGCACATTTACCTACCTAATATTTAGTGATTGAATTCTGCACTGCTGAAACCCAGTGGGACTGTTATTCCCTAGGGCTTTAACAGTTATATGCCAAACAGGCACAGCATAGGGAATCTTGTGGGAGTGGATAGGCATACTTCATAGCTGCATACTTCATAGCTACTGCTGGTCCTAGGGATTTAGGATAGCAGAATATCCAAGCCCAATTTCTACAGCAGAGAATTCAGAGGGCTTGCAGCCGTATGCCCTCCTGAAATGCCAAAGAAACAAATCCCTGTTCTTCAGCCTCCCATGGTAAATTTATTAACTTATGTGTTTGGCACAATTGGACCTCCAAACATCACCTAGTGACTTAAGATCTCATTATTAGCTACAGAATAAGACCGATAATGAATGGGTAGCTCACCTGCTTTGAATGACAATGCAATCCTGATAAAGTCGGTCATACATACAGATCTTTAAATCGATGTTTGGATTGGGCACCCAAACTGGCACATCAATAGAAACTCCAACGGCACTAAAGTACAGCTGTTAATATACAAATTCAGAGTGTGTTTGTTTGTATTAGTCTCTGAAATTCTTACCCATCTAAGGCAGAGCAAGAGTTTCCTCTATGAACTACAGCTGAGTAAGATACTGTTCATATTAAAGGTATTTTAATTAGACAAAGGTAGGGAAGGCATTTATAAAATAAATCATAAATATTCTCGTGTTCAGCACAAAAAATATGAATTATACTTTGGCTTAGATTCTTTGACAGAAAACAAAGGAACATTTCTTTTCAATATCTTGGACAGCATGATATCTAAAGTACATCTAGTTTAAGTGAATGTGCCACAATTCAGAAACTCAAAAGACATTGCAATTTGTTTATCCAATAAAGAAATACAGCAATGGCAGGAGAGTACACTATGTCCTATAATAATGACCTTAAATGATATTTCAGCAATGAAATAGCTCAGACTTGGAGAAAACAATCCTTCTCTACCAGGGCTGAAAGGCAGCTCCTTCTACAGTGTATTCCATCTGCAGATCTTGAGAAGAGCCAAGACTAGCCTACTGAGCTCCTTGGAAGTTTTAAGTTTTTTGGCAAGGTTCTGTGAACTGTTCCCAGGCAGAATTTGACTTCCAATAAAACATGGAATTAAAATAGCTGCAATGGTAACTAAAGTTAGCATCTGTCCCAGCTTTCACACATCAGTTTCAGTATTACATGCTGAATAATTCCAATCTGATAGATCAGGAAGAAAATAAACTGTGTGGGTTGGGGATAAAGACTTTTTTAATTTGTTTCCAGGCAATTAATGTTTTCTAATATGATGCCTGATAAAATAGGAGTATCAGGATAGGGCTTTTAGAAAGTACGTTACAAAGGCAAGGGCCATGGTTTACAAAATTAGTCTGTGACCTGCCATGAGACTACATAATAGATAATCATGTGCTACCTCGTTATTTCTTAGAATGTCCATAAACAAGTTTTCATCTACCTGCTTCCCTGGTTCTAATCCAGCCTTCTGAACTCTTGTTGTTCTTGGAAGAAGCATAAGCAGGAGGATTTCAAACTAGTTTTTCTACAGTGTTTTGAGTCAAATCTTATACAAAAAAAACTCACTGGTTTGCAGGGTGAGTTGTCAAACATAATCACAAACTCTGCCCTTACATCCCCAGGGACAGCTGGGATAAAAATAATCTGAAGTTTGACTGAGTTGAAGGGTCCAATTTCACCTTCAGTAACCTAAAAAAAAAAGAAGTACAACTTCATGGAAACCTGGCAGTATTACTATAGTTGGCTATAATTTGTACTGAAAGGAACAGTATATGTTCTATACATATTCATACTATACAAACACTAGATTATGGGGTTTACTGAAGAGTGTCCTTCATGTCAGTGAAAATATAACTAATGCGTGGAAAAGTTGTCTTGTGCTACCATCCAAAGATTTGCTCTACTAAATTCAGCACAAGTTTTCCTGCCTTCTGTACAAATGAGCAGAAGCCATGAAAGCTCATAAGAGCTAGCATCTGTACTTTCATACCCAAATTCTTTAATATAGTGCAAGTCTCCCCTTCCTCAGACATTCTTCCTGTCCCTTCTTTTTTGGTAACACCAAACTTCGTATAGTCATGAAATGACACAGCAGAAAAATATATGCTGACCAAAAAAGAAAAAAATTAAAGTTATGCAAAGTTTAAATGTATACAGTCTCTTTGGCCCAAATACTCTTTCTAGGTCAAGAGAAAGGACAAATGCATAATGTGATTTCATTTTAGGAATTAACTGTGATACACTAAAGTCCACTGGGCTTGGCATTGATTGCATACTCACGATTTACCACCAAAGCCAAAGCAATTTGCTTGATACAGGCTTAGAATACTGAAAATCTTGTATGCATCTCAGGATATTCATTACCTTGCCCAGCATAATTTCAATTGGTGTTTCTTCAGGAGAGGGTTCCACTAAGTTCTCTGCATCATCTGCTTCTAGATCTGATTTGGAGTTCAATGCATCTCGACTAAGCTGTTCTGGAAGGAAAAAAGAAAAGTGCTGAATGTATGCATCTATACACTAATGAAAATATCAACCAGCACAAGCATACTGATTTCGGTCAATACTGCAAATCTGATCACATATCCCAGCATAGGGGAAGGGGAGGTCTAGAAGGAAACTTCTGTTTGGACATATGAATTTGTTCCAGTCCAGAAGAAGTCTTAGACACTTGAGCGTCCCACTGCAGGCAATGAATATTAATTTTTCAGTAGGATAAAGTACATGCAGGAGATCGTATTTCTTGACGTAACAGATTCAGCTGAAAACTTAAGCTGGGCTTTAAGCAGCATTCCAATAGGACAAAGCAATGCAGTCAAGAGGACCTGCAAAGCAAGTGGAAGTGCTGTTGCATATTGTATCACTATTCATTTCATTTCCAAAAAAATTGCAAAAATAAATACCTTTTAATCCAATCAACTTCCTCCAGGACTCAAAAATGCCTTAAGCTAATATACTGCTGAAGAGATGCGGCTAACTCTGGACTCCATGGCAATAATCAACTGGTGACCGTATGTTAACGGAGGAAAAAGATCAAAATGGCATGAGACGTTTAATGTGCTAAAGCAAAGGAAACCTACAGATGGAAAGGAAGTCTAAGCTATTTTTAAAGTCTGAAAATAACTTTTAAAAGATATATATGCTGTAGAGAAAGCTAAAGTGACTTATGGAATCACCATTTCACAATACAGAGAAGAAAAAACCTACAACCTTTTCATGGGACTATTATTTTCTTGGAATGATCAATATAAAGAAGAAACTTAACTTCCTTAGTATGTGTATTCTTTTCTCCTATAAGACTGGGTTTTTATTAAGCACATAGTAAACATGAAATAACAGGAAAAAGTTCTGAGGAGGTTCATCTTCCTGTTTCTTTGTTCTTAAAATTACCAGCTATAAAAATAAACTTGTGACATGGCTCTCTTCTGTGAGGCAGGTGTTCAGTTGCAGAGACAAGAATGATAATTTCAGTTTCTACAGTCTGGTTAGCTTTTGAATTCTTCTCTAAGGCCAAACTGTTGATTGCTAATGGGGAGTAAGATTCTCCACTGTTTTTGATATAAGAGTGCTGGCACTTAGTCATTTTTGTGAGCTGTGTAGGTGATTTAGAGTTGAGGCAACATACAAATAAATGTAACACAACTACTGGAATGATTAGCTGAGTAACTTCGCCAGTTGAATTCCAGTTTGTTACAAGGAACTATACACAGCTAATGCTTAGCCTGGGAAACCACACTGCTAGTTTTCCCTAAAATCATCATCTCACCTGTAGAGCTACTGCTCAGGCTTGTCTCTGTGCTCTGCTGCTCCACCTGAGGTGCACAATGAGTCATTTCTTCACTACGGTCATGACAAGTTTGATCCTTTTTCTCAAGCACAGATTTCACAGGACAATTACTGACTTTCTCTTCAGAGACAGAGTCACTGAACTGTTGACTAATCTATTACAAAACATAGATAAAAAAATTACTAGAGTTATCTATCTAGCTTGCCTCCAGCTCTGATTTCATCAATCAATTTTCAGAGAAAAGCAGATTGGTTTTGTGCCAGTGTTCCATGTTATAAATGGAGATTGTTGTACTTTTCAAGAAGATGGCACACTCTTCTAGAGCAACCAGCAAAAAATTACATCGTCTCATTGATAAAACTCAAAACAGGAGACTAATATAGGGGGAACAGTAGAATATGGTGCTAAATATTTTACAATTAACAGAACCCACATTTTTCCAGAGGAAATACAGATCCCTCTATAGCAAATTTAAGCCTGCTAAAACTAGGCTTCTGTTTATTATACACCTACAAAAGTAGTTCATGAGCTGCCAAGGATTTGGGAACCACAGATTAATTCAGATAGCGGGTTTTTTTTTAAACAGCAATTATGTTCAGAAAACGAGACAGGACAGAACCCAGTTCATGTCAGTTTTAAGCTTTCCTGGGTTTGCAGTCAATTGTAATAAGGAATGGAACAGAAAAGTAATTAGCTATAACAGAAAATGCAGAGAGAAAAAATGTGGATACAGAAGGTGTTATTTGTGTATACTCATTTTCCTTATTTGACCCATGCTTTAATGTCATGGTAGCATGAGAGTTGATATCCACGATGAATAATCAGCTCAGTTTCACCGTAGGTACTGTTTAATGTAGTCTTTCAAAAGGGAGGTCAATCCCTTTTTTAAAGTTTACATATGGATTAGATTACTTAATTCCCTAGCAGGGAATTTTGAAAATCTGATCTACTTATACTTCAACAAAAAAATTAAAGACTGCACTGATGAAAAAAGATGAAGTATCTGCACTGTGTCTATGAATACATTTAGACACATTGTAAAGATACCATGCAATCTAGTGGTGACATTCTCTTTTGTCAAGGACCTGTGAAATCTGTCTCTGGAGTACTTTTTACATAGCACCTGAGGAAAAAGGAACATATGATAATAGTATTCATCAACACAGCAGTTACACAGCACAACTTGATAGACAGTTGAGACATTGCCTCCTCTTTCTTTTTTTTTTTTTTTTTTTTAAATCTGAAGATACTCATCCTTGAGGAATAAAACCCATAGCTTCATGTCTTCAGACTTCAGCTAGCCTTCTCATACTGTAAATCCGCCCCACAATGCTGACATACAAAGAAGATTGTATTCATGCTTTCTCCATAAACTTTCACTTATAAAAGTATCTACCACATGGAGCAGTAGAGCTCTTAGGATTCCTGGGTTCTCTGTCAACTTCTACAATTGGCACAGTGTAGGAGCAATCAATATCAGATCTGACACCACCCACTGTCAGCTCTGAACCAACTGTCTGAGTTTTTGTGAATTTCTTCAGTGATCTGTGCTTCAGTCCCACTGAGCATATTCTACAGGGCACAATCGCTTTCATTCATTCCAATATTGATTTTAGAGATCTCCCCTCAGTTTTTTTTTTTTTTTAAACATATACAACACACACACACACACCAGTTTTCAGGCAACAGACCTGATTGCAATTCTTAGTTTGACTAAGAAACCTTCTTCTCCTCTAATAATAGCTTGTTAACAACTGTTGTCCTTCACTAGGAATTTTAAATGAACAGCTCAAATTTTAAAGGAAAAAAATCATAGGTTAGTACTGCCAACTCCCATCACTTCATTGCTAGTTTTGCAATAGCTGGCTTTTTTCTGAAGTCCAGGAATCAGATATTTAAATGATTGTGTCAGAACCTCTGCTTTTAACTAAAAAGTGTTTTTCTTCCTAGTTTTCCAAGATGCCAACAAAATAGGAAACATGATATCTGAGCATAGACTGAAGTGTTTCAAAAATTCTAATTGTTGAGGTTTTTTCCAGAGCCATTTATTTTTAAGTTACCTTGCGATATTTGGAGTCTAATGTGTTATTTATGCTTGGGTTGGCAATATTGCATATCTCAACAAAAACTATGATGCTCAAAGCAGAATGTCTTGATTAATTTAGAGAAATGCTTTTGAACCTACCATTCTTCCAGGAGAAGATTTTGCTATTGCTCTGCTTACACTACTGTCACCTGCTGACATCTGAACCTTGAATCTTGTTCCCAAAGCTCCACAGTTTGTCAGTGTGACAGTCCGTGAAATTCTCTCCCCCACAACATGAGTGCCAAAGTCAATGAGCTCTTTATCTAGTGCCAGCTGTAAGAAGAAAACACATAATTACTACTGTCCCAGATAGTCACTAATGCCAACTAAATGGGCACCTACCATTTAAAGAATAAGACTTTAAAGTCCTTATTACCACTTCAAAGACAATGTCAAATAATGACATAAGTTACAGGGACTCTGCCTTTCTGGAGAAGCAGACTAATTTGAACAAAGTAGTCTTGAATTGAGCCACTTCTCTATCAGTCCACTATATGAGCGGAAACAACATATCATATTCTGATCATGGTAGCAGCATTGCGTAAACCTGAGCAACTTCAGTTAGTTATTCCGGATTTAGACAACATTTACACATGAATTTGACATTACTGCTCTTATATTACACTAAGGTGGTCCTATTAGCATCAGGATGATAAACAAGCAAGCAGCATTTAATGTCGTGTAGTTTGCAGACAGTTTATAACACATCCTATTCTGTTCTTTGAGCCACCATAGTTTAAAAGCAGTATAAAATTAATATAAGGGAAATGGAAAAAATAAACGTACTTCTTGCTCGATACTTTCAATGATGTTTATATTATTTCACGTTTTTTATTACTACTGTTACACTGACTGATTAAAATATTTAAAGAAAATCACTTACAATGCATTTCTTGTTTGTGCATTTCAATGGAACAGAAAAAGAACCTGTCTGTGCCATAAATGTGATTTCTCCTTCCAGAGTTTCATTTATCTAAAAAAAGCATATGTAAAAACAACCAAAAACCACCAACTAGTTTGCAAAGATTTAGCCTGTTTAGTTAGCTTTCTAGAAGGTATTTTTTCCTCATTCTTTGAGTTGCATGTTAAAATGTAACTCTGTAGGTTCTGTACTTCCACATTAAGGTAGTTTTTGATAACTGCCTGGCTAACTTCAGCTAGGCAATACCATAAACTTTCTAGTTCAGAGCAATTTTCAAAACATACTCCAAAAATATCTAGTGATAAACACTTCTCTAAAATATGCCTCTTTGCCTTACTACAGTGTAACAGTCAATGTATGCACCGTTCTCAAAATAAAGTAAAATCTAAGACTGTAGTACCCATGTTAACAACTGAGAAATCAGACTAAAGATACTTTTAATTGAGCTGATTGATGAGAACCATGGTATAATCCTTGTACATCTTTTCATTTAAAATTAAAATGCATAGCGCACTTACCACTGGCTTAAATGTTACCCCTACTTCACAGGACATTCCAGCAGCCATTTGACCAGGTGGGTCAAAACTATGGAGATAATTCACATAAGACTCAAAATTAAAGCTACATATGAAACCTCCAGCTCCCATTCTGATAACACTAGCAGAAAAATGACATAATCTTTTTTTCACTTGGATTCATTCATTACTCAAAGCCAGAATGAGTGACAGATTAAGGAAAAGCTAAGGAATCTTGGTGCAGTTATGAGACCACAGAGGCTGATTTTTTATAGAGATGTTAACCAGAAAGTCTTAGAATGCTTTTAAGAGGCAAGAATTATTGTGTTCATGTTACAAATGAGGAGACTGTAGCCAAATAGGTGAAGACGAGAATTAAAAAAGTGCTGACATTAATATCAAGAATAGGGACTAATCACCAAGTCTAACAACTAGGAAGCACTCTTCTCCCATTACCCATTGGGAGTATTGACCTGTAACACCTCCACTGTCCAAACAAGTAGTGGAGGAAAAGAAAGAAGGCAATTGAAAGTGATTACAGAATCTACTGCTTGTTACAAAGTATCAGGATTATCTTGAGTAAGAACTGCCACTCATTTCAAGTTGCATCTCTCTCTTCATGGCTGCCCTGATGCACACAAAATAGCCACCAGATTGTTTAACTCCTTCTCAACTATGACCAAAACAGATTTAGTGAGACAAGTTCTCACAACTGCATTATAAACGAAATTACGGTACGACTGGAGGTCTATTCCACTTAACAGAATCAGAAAGGAAGCTAGACAAATTAGATAACTATATTTACTCGCCATAGGAATACCTATGTAAACTGGACCACACTGCACCATAAAATCATGATTAATATATATGTTGTATCAAAACAGAATTGAAAATAAACACAACTAAGATGAAAAATTTTCAAACAGAAATGAATAAAGGAAGTGGTATTCAGAGTTCAGGGCATTAAAATTTAAGTAGGCAAACAGGTCTATAAGCTTCTGGATACTGAGCTCCAGAACAGACCTGGTAGTTTCTCCTGAGTAATTGATTACACAGGGAGGTCAAAATTCATCAACATACATGACTTCAAAAATAAACAAAAAAGCTAGACTCATTCTGTTGTGCACTTGAGCAACTTTAAAAGCTTAAGCGCTCTGCTGTATTGTGGCCAAATATGCATCTCTTACTCTGTGACTGAAGTGCTAAATATTTACCAAGATCTTCTAGAGCAGTTGGATTCAGACCTTATAGCTCTTGAGTGATTATATTCAGTCAAGAGCTGTAGTATGTTCACATCCCAGTGTGCTCATAGAGATCAAATGGGCAGGAATGGTTTGTTGTGCACCATAACTTATCTTCTTATCAAGGTAGTTAGAAATTCAAAGTGCAATCTATCACTACAAAGTAGCAATGGCTAGTGAGCTGTAAAACAGAATCTCTTAAGTATGAAATTAGTTACTGTGGTAATACAACTTGTTCATTTCACTGGGATATGACTAAAACAGTGTAAGAAATGTTTTTTTTCCAGTTCAGTCAGTCGGAAGAGAAAAAGAGCTGAAAACTTTTTTTATGTAAGCCAAATAAATTTGCTCTGATGTCTCCTATTCATCAATAAGCTCTGCAAACAAGCAAACAAGAGCTTTAGCATTTTTTCCATTTTTAGAGCAGCTACAACTGATTCTGTTGGTTTCACAGAATTCTAAATAAAAATAATATTTCCTTGTCTTTGATTTTAAGAGAATAAAAACAAGTTGGGGAAATAAGTATTTTAGAGTTTTAAAGACTTCAAATGTCTCCAAAGAAAGCTAGGCTCTGAATTACCTTAAGAAACATTTCAAGGATACTTCCATTTGCTTACTTATAAAAACTCACATAACATGATCAATATAGTTAAGTTGAGATGAATTTGTAATCTGTCCCAGCTGGGACAAGTATTTCACTGTACAACCTCTTATGAGGATTATGCAAGAGGATTGATGGGAAACTCCATAGGATTTCTATTTAAGTGCTCTTTGCTCTGAGATCAATTCATTTCATTCGCTCCTTTTCACTTATATTTCATATGAACAACCAATAATCTGGAAGTTAGTATGAAACATGCTACAAAGGACAGCAGCTGGTAAAAGTGGGATTAAAGGCCCTTATGGTTGCCTAGGGAGAATCTTGGGTCCTCTTTCCCTAGATACAAGTGGATCCTCTTCCCCTCTTTCCAAGTGTCTGACATTTATGAAAACAAGCTCTCAACTTCTTCAGGGCTGGCAGTTACCAGGAGTGTGTATATTGCTTTCCACAGATTAGGGGCTGGTCCCTTGCTATTACCACTACAGAAACCAGTGACAGGCAGCTCAACCTCAGGAGGTCCTTTTTTTCCCTCAACTTGGGCACAGTTCCTTCTCACTGCACAAGGACAGAATATTAGTAATTTAGACATATCTGTTGAAATCTGTTTCACTGGCTATGGAATTTGGTCATGCCTTCTGTTGTGGTACAAAGATAAAACAGGCAACTAGTACACAGTTAATCTTACTCACTGAATACTGATGAAGTCCTTGAGCCATTCACTGATTCCTACTAGTCTGCAGAAGTTAACACCATAGGATGCATTTGTCAAAACTATCTTCTTTTTGTAGATTTTACCAACATCAAAATCCTTGGAATACCAAACATATCAGGTGGTCTGAGTTACATATATAGCATTTACACATGCAATTACAAGAGCAACTAATTTACTGCAGTAGTCCTCATAGTCGCTACTAGAATCATGCGCTAATATAATTGTCAACAATTTATTCTGCATGTGGCAAAAACAATACACAGATTTTGAATACAGAGCTAGGTACCACTTTCTTCCAGTGAAGTTCTGTTTTCTGCATGAGGCATGGATTCCTAGCTCCTAATGAAACCAAAACTCCATGAATGCTGCACACCTAGAGACATTCACATAAAGACAGAGACCTGCAGGCTGTCTGACTGGCAGCAATTCATCTTTGATAGAGTCAGAAAAAGTCAGACATGCATTTATTTTCACAAGTTTACCAAGAGAAAAATTTTAAGTGTCTTAGAAAGTACAGGATTTAAAAAACAAACGCCACACACCAAACACAACAGATGCTTTGTTCCTGATCTGTTTGCAACTGACCTGAAAGTTGGCACACCTGAACCATTTTGCAGCCGAGCAAGATTTTAAGGGAAACGTTCACAGATCACCCCAGAAAACCCTGTTCTACAAATGGTGGCAGCTGATGATTTTTATGATCAGAACTGCAACTTGTAGAACAAGGGACACTCAGAAAATCTGTGAAACTTAAACAAGTTTCCTGGAGCATGGACTCCAAAACCTCAAGATTATAGGACTTTTTTCAAAGTATAAATTTGAACTTCCCCAAACTCAATTTCTCCATCTATAAAATCTGAGAAAGGCTACTACCCATCTCTAACACAAACAGGACCATGACAATTAAGTCACTAACATCCATGAGGAGTTTTGAAAACTAAGAAGGGGAAGGGGGAGAAGAGTAAAGTCTACATTTTAAAATATTTTCAAAAAGAATTCTGAAGAACCCTAGATGAGGGCTACTGGAATTTTTAAAACCTATACACACAAACTCTTACGAAATATTGGGAAGTTTATGTCAACTGTATTTTTAACGTATGATTAAGTTTGCAGCTAAATTTGAATAAAAGTTGAAGGGTATATTTGGCCACAGGGAAAATATGAGATTTTCTTCTTGCCCTCATCTGCTTGTAAAGTTGTCATAATTCATTCATTTTTTTCAGAGAATATGAAATGATAGCTAAGGTGTTTGTTAAGGAAGAAAGCACACCAAGATAGCGCTTTTAGTCTTCTTGATAGCGTAACTTGAGATTTGGAAAGACGTGTTACAACTTGCCAGAAAGTAAATATCAGTTTGAAAAAAGAAAGAGTCTACCATTTCATTTTTCTAGTTTGTACACTGTGTTCCTCAATCATGCTGTTATGCAGAGAAATGGTGATGTTCGCCATGGCAAAGCACTGTCTGAGATTTCAGAAGCGTGCTGCCGACAAGCTCATTTTCCAAGGTATGTAGAAGCCATGCAAAGTCTTTAAAGTATCTTTAGATTAAAAAAAGAAAACAAAAAACCTATACACAACTAACTCCAAAATCAAATAATTGTTAGAGATCCTGAAGTAAGAATCCTGAACAAATGGTACCTTTAAATATTTTTAGTCCCACTTTGCAAATGAAAAATCTGGAGCACTGTGGCATTAAGCAACGTGTTCAAGATAAGAAGTATGAAGAAGAGCTAGGCATGATGTGCTTTTTTCATGGCATACTTGTTAATTACAGCAAAGAGAAACTGCAGCTCACAGAATAGTTGAGGTTGGAAGGGACCTCTGGCGATCATCTAGTCCAACAGCCCTGCTCAAGCAGGATCGCCTAGAGCACGTTGCCTAGGACCCTGTCCAGACAGCTTTGGAATACCTCCAAAGCTGGAGACTCCCCAGCCTCTCTGGGCAACCTGCTCCAGTGCCCACTCACCCTCACAGGGAAAAAAAGTTTCTCCTCATGTTCAGATGGAACTTCCTGTGTTTCAGTTGGTGCCTGCTGCCTCTCGTCCTATCCCTGGGCACCATGGAGAAGAGTCTGGCCCCTCCTCTTGACACCCTCCCGTCAGCTACTTATATACACTGATCAGAGTCCCCCTTCAGCCTTCTCTTCTCCAGGCTGAAGAGTCCCAGCTCTCTCAGCCTTTCCTCCTGAGAGAGATGCTCCAGTCCCTTACTCATGTTAGTGGCCCTTTGCTGGACTTGCTCCAGTAGCTCCATGTCTCTCTTGTACTGTGTCCAGTTCTGGGCTGCCCAATACTCCAGGTGTGGCCTCACCAGGGCTGAGGAGGAAGAGGAAAACTATACTATACTGGCCAAGAGTAAACTGTGATGGTCACCTGCAATCTAAAACCTTTACCAAGTTTTATTTCATAGTCAGAGTTATGATATCAAGGCCATTATTTTATGTTAATAATGTATGTGCGGACAATATATCAATAACAGTTACATGGCCTTTTAGAGAGCATGGAACACAATCTAACAAGATGCTTATTTTATGCTCACCCTTCTGACAGTGTTTAAATTCCCTTAACTACAGAAACTATTTTATATTCAAAACTGAGCAAGTACTTCATTTTGCCTGGTTCTATAACTTCCCTGGGAGCTGCTAGAGAAAGAGGCAAGTAGTTTTCCAGGTTTGACTAATGACCTATTAAAGGCAACAAGAGTTCCACTGCCCCCACAGCGAAACAGGCATTTGATCAAGACATGGGTATAAAGATACAGTGGATACATACACCTTCTTAACAGATCCTATGCAGAATGGCCACTAACCTTGAAATGAATGAGATTTGGTTTACTATAAAAAGGGCATCCCTCACATTCATGACCAGACGCTATTTGCTTGTGAATAATTCCAGTTCGGAGTTTTCCTGTTTTTTTCTTGAAAATCTCTTTTTTCAATATCCTTGCAGCCAACTGCTTTGATTCTGTTTCTTCTTTGGGTATCTAACGAAGAACACCAAAAAAACCACCATGACTTGAATGTAAATAACTAATCAACGAATCTATTGATCTAGACAGAAAACCCTGTGAATAGAATCTTTTCATCTCTGGCTGGCCTTTGTCCTGCTTCTAGGTCAAACTCAGCCTCCCAGCTTCTGTTGGAAGAAATTAATGTTCTGAACTTTCTATTCTGTATCTTGTGTACACCCAACATTAACACCTGTGAGTTAATATTGTCATTAATAACAGTAAGTCATACTTTCTCCTCTTTCTGAACAACTAGTCATTCAAAGAAGTTAACTTTATTGGGCCATTTCAGTTACAGTCCAGTGTTTCTTCTATATGAGTATATGGATATGCACTGACAATGTTGCTTTTTGACAGATTCTAGAGTCTGTTCTCAAAGGTCTTCTGCGTCTCGAGAAAGTAGTATATGGAAGGTACACCTTGGAATAACATTTAATTTCTCAACTACGTAATTTCCACGCTGTAGGTGAGTATTATTTGCTTGCATTTAGAGAACTGAATGCTGTTACTTTGCCACAGCAGAAGTGGTACTTTTTGGTGCTTAGCATGGGATGGAAAAAGTTGTTTCCATATGAAACAATCTGTGTTGCCAACTCAATAGAATACCATGTTCAGTTTTTTCAAAACTCAAACAAGCAAGTGAGCATGATGTGATACGTCTTTACATATCTCTGAACTAAAAGTGAAGTGTTATTTTCTCTTTAAGAGAACAAACACTACAAAAACAGTGTCAAACAGCAATTCCTTTTATGATATTCTCATATGGAACCTTTACATCTATGAAATAATGTAAATGTATTTAAAATGCAAATTAGATATAAATAATTACTTTAAGTAAGGTTCCTAAAATAACGCCTGCCAGTGTCACTACTTTGGTAACTAAAATTACTAGAGAGGAAAATGACACTGTTCCAAACCTTTAAGATACTTTCATATATACTTTCAAAGTTCTGTAAAGAGTTAAAGTTAACAATAAGACAAAAATATAGGCATTTTATCCACATCTGTTTTTCTACTTCTAAGAAAAGATATCAAAACACTTACCTTGTGCAAGTCACTTTCTCGATTCCAAAGTCCTGGGAATTCTGGTTCAGCTTGAGGCTTGTCCCCCTCCTTCTCATCCTCTTGCCTTTCACAGAACACATCATGACATACTTTATGGGAAAATTCACATAAAGAAGTATTTCTCTCATCAGCTGAGGAGCAAGTTGATGGAGAGCACCATGACTTTTATAAGAAAACATAAGTTTTGAAGATACAGTTAGGAATTGCTATAGGGCAATTGCTTCAACAGTAACAGTTTTGGAAGAGACCTTTTAAAACAAAAAATGGCAGGGTTCTATAAAGCTCTGATGCCAAAGATCACAACTTAAGCAAAACGCTCTTTAGAAGACTGAACACAGCTGAAATGTCATTTTACAAGCATCTGTATGATGTTAATTTTATGCTATAGGAGCATACATAGGAGCAAAACCTAGTCTTCAGTTAAGAGAATATTCACTGTGTACTGCTTGAAGGTTCTTTATCTATTAAGTGATAACCAATGACTTTGTAAGTGGAAATAGGCATAGTACAATAAAACAACAAATATTCCCCCCTCTCCCAAAACGCACAGAATGGTTGAGGTGCTCAAGCAGGGTCACCTAGAGCACGTTGCCCAGGATTGTATCCAGACAGCTTTGGAATAACTCCAAAGCTGGAGACTCAATGGAGAAGAGTCTGGCCCCATCCTCTTGACACCCTCCCGTCAGCTACTTATATACACTGATCAGAGTCCCCCTTCAGCCTTCTCTTCTCCAGGCTGAAGAGTCCCAGCTCTCTCAGCCTTTCCTCCTGAGAGAGATGCTCCAGTCCCTTACTCATGTTAGTGGCCCTTTGCTGGACTTGCTCCAGTAGCTCCACGTCTCTCTTGTATTGGGCAGCCCAGAACTGGACACAGTACTCCAGGTGTGGCCTCAGCTGGCAATGCTCTTCCTAATGCAACCCAGGATACCACTGGCCGCCTTGGCCACGAGGGCGCGTTGCTGGCTCATGGTCAGCTTGTCTGCCACGACTCCCAGGTCCTTCCCTGCAGAGCTGCTTTCCAGCAGGTCAGCGCCCAGCCTGCACTGGTGCATGGAGTTATGCCTCCCTGGGTGCAGGACCCTGCACTCCCCTTGGTTGAACTTCAGGAGGTTCCTCTCTGCCCATCTCTCCAGCCTGTCGAGGTCCCTCTGAACGGCAGCACAGCCCTGTGGTGCGTCAGACGCTCCTCCCAGTTTTGTATCAGCAGCAAACTCGTTGAGGATGCGCTCTGTCCCTTCACTCAGGTCACTGATGAACAAGTTGAACAGTACTGGACCCAGTATGGACTCCAGGCATACTGCGCTAGCTGCAGGCCTCCAGCTCGACTTTGTGCCACTGATCACAGCCCTCCGAGCTCTGCCGTTCAGCCAGTTTTCAGTCTGCCTCACTGTCCGCTCGTCTAGCCCGCGCTTCCTGAGCTTGCCCGTGAGGATGTGATGGGAGACAGTGTCGAAAGCCTTACTGAAGTCAAGGAAGGCAACATCCACCGCTCTCCCCTCATCTACCCAGCCAGGCATCCCATTGTAGAAGGCTCTCAGGTTGGTCAAGCATGATTTTCCCCTTGGTGAATCCGTGCTGACTACGCCTGATCACTTTCTTATCCTTGACCAAGGGAAAGGCTTCTTTTCTTCAGACTTTCTCCCTGATCTCCAGGGTCCGGGGTTCCTGAGGACTGGTCTTAGCAGTGAACACTGAAGCAAAGAAGGCATTCAGTATCTCTGCCTTCTCTGTATCCTTTGTCATCAGCGCCCCCGCCCCATTTAGTAGTGAGCCCACATTTTCCCTGCTTCTCCTTTTGTTCCTGATGTATCTGAAGAAGTCCTCTTTCTGTCCTTGGCATCCCTTGCCAGATTAAATTCCAAACGGGCCTTGGCCTTCTTCATCACACCCCTGCGTACTCAGGCAATGTTTCTATATTCTTTCCAAGTGGCCTGACCCTGCTTCCACCTTCTGTGGACTTCCTTCTGTTGTTTGAGTTTTGCCAGGTGCTCCTTGTTCATCCATACAGGTCTCCTACACTGTTGACTTGACTTCCTGCTCATTGGGATGCACTGCTCTTGAGCCTGAAGAAAGTGATCCTTGAATATTAACCATCTTTCTCAGACCTCTCTTCCTTCTATGGCCCTCTCTCATGGGATTCTTCCAAGAAGGTCCCTGAAGAGGGTAAAGTTAGCTCTCCTGAAGTCCAGGGTTGTGATCCTGCTCTTTGCCCTGTTTCTTCCTTATAGGATCCTCAACTCTACCATCTCATGGTCACTGCAGCCAAGGCTGCCCCCAGCCTTCATATCTCCAACCAGCCCTTCCTTGTTTGTTACTACAAGGTCCAGCAGCACATCTGTCCCTGTTGGCTCCTCCATCACCTGTGTCAGAAAGTTATCATCAGTGCTCTCCAGAAACTTCCCGGAGTGCTTGTGCCTTGCTGCGTTGTTCGTTCAGCAGATATCAGGGTGGTTAAATACCAAAAGATTGCATGAAGCTACTAGTTTTATCAGGGGATTCAATTCATCCCACCTCCCGCTCCCTAGGCCAGTACTTCCTGGAATATTGTGGAGATCAAAAAAACTGGAAGTATAGGGGACATTAGGTCTTGAGAGTACTACTGTCTTCTTTCTAATTCAGTAGAAAGATTTCTCACTTAGACAAACTAATCTGAATGCTTAGTCAGGGATGAAGGTAATTAAACAGGAAATGCCTTTTGATACTTGCTGTGATGGAGGTGTGTGAAAATTCACCTCTTCTCACAAATGCATTTTAATTTTTCTTAGTTTTAGCTGGACAATGTCCTTATTCATACAAGTGTCAACAGTCAAGAAAAGGGAGATTAATAATCATAAACAGACCTAATGGAGAAGTTATTCACTCCCTGCTTGTTCTGTACTATCTGGTATTTGTTTGCAGCCTGTGCAATTCAAAGGAAAAGAAAAATTCATTTTCAAGTCTTTGACAAAAAAAAAATCTGAAGATGGCTAATGCTTAGACCTTTGTTTACCTGTGGCATTGCTGCAGCTGAATATTTGCAGGTCTTCTCAATATATTCCCATGTTTTCATCCTCCACAGTAAAGAATCCTCAAGTTTACCACCCCTCTTAACTTCCTTAGTCCAGGATTGACTATTTTTCTGCTTGTGAAAATAAACATTTTCTTGCAAAATTTGAGCTACAATTTCAATTCTTCTAGATTTTTGCTGTTCTCTAAAAGCTCTGTAATAAAATATTAGAAACATTAAAGAAATCATGGCTGTATAGAGTGAAATTATCAGATTCCAGTTACTTTTGATCCTTTAAGCTAACTAGTAAGTCTTAAACCTTGGGTGCAGTAGTAATTTTTGGCAAGTTAGGGAATTCAGAGGCATTATATACAAAGTCATACTGTTTTGCTGACTAAATATACTGAATTACAGTGTTTTCAAAGATAAGGAGTTGATAAAGCGTATCAGTCATTACTGCTGAAAGTTGTTAAAGTTCCCTAACCTAGTTAGGTATTTAAAGGAAACTGTCTACCTGAAATCTAGTGGTTTTAACAAAAAGAGGAAGAACTGTTAAAAGAAGAGTTAAAAGATAAGGACGCAAGTACTGAGCTTGGGAGATACAAATTCAAAGCTACGTAATGCCAAAGTTTCCTGTGACACGCTGGGTAGATTAATCTCAGTTTTAATACCAGCACTTTACTACATAACTTTTTGGAACAAGTATTATCCACTGTAAAGATATCTTTTAATATAGTCATTCACCTCCTCAACTTATCCATATAAATGATTATTGACTATTAATGAGAGCAAAGATCTTTCTTATTGAAACACAGGCTACTGCATACTGAAGTACTTCAATGACCCACTGCAGCAGAAAAATGGGATTTTCTATACTATACATTTTGGGAAAAAATCATGATACTGAGAAGTTACAAAATATAGCAATGGTATACTGACTCCCAGTATTGGCAGTGCTATCTGCCGTAACTGTAACACCATCCCCCTTTCCTAAGGGAAGTTATTGTCTCTATAATTCTATTTATAGATTTAGTTTATACAATTAAATTACAGGCTTGAATGACTGAAGAGGAGGTTTTTTTAAAAATATAATTCAGAAATATATATTTGGGCTGAAAAATGCTCAGATAAAAACTTGCCTCTGATCTTATTACAGGGTAATCTTCCAGAGATGTTCTGTAAAAGCCCTAAGAAAGCTATCTAATATAGATAGTGTTCAGGAAACACATAATTACAGTTACTTCATGCATCCAACTTAGGTTCACTGAATCACCCTGCTGGAGCAGTCTATCTTCTCTGCACTGACCACAAAAGAACATGGGCTCCTAACTCTGGTTCCCTGAATAACATCTAAGCTAGAAGTTCAAGTTACTTAAAGCAGATTGCACAAATATCACACATACAGAATATAAGAATGATTAATTCCATTGAGATAGCATCACAGATGTTAAGTTTTTAGTCTGAGTAAGAGATCCAATATATTCCTGCATAAGCATCGCTAAGCAGCTGAGAGTTCCATATAGAAATGAATACTTACTGTTTCTCTTTTTCATACTCTAGCAGTCGTTTATGTAGAAAAAGTTCCTTGGCAACATTGCCTCCTTCTGCTAGGAGAGCCTCCCTCATTTTCATCTGTTTTTTTGCCTCAAAGGCCCTCCTTGTTTTTTTCCCTATCTGGAGAGCTCGGAGGTTTTCCTACAAAGTCACACAAACCACAGTTAAATATTTGATTTATTTGCAGAATATGGGTTTGGGTCCCTATCTATATAGAAATCCGTGATTGATTTCTCTGAACTGGAATTTACTGTTTTCAATATATACAGTAGTCAGTTAAGCTGCCAATAGACTCTGTGCACAGGAGATGCAGAGTATTACTTATTTGTAATATGCATTATTTTAAAGAACTATTCTACTAGAACAACTGGATCGCTCACAGAATAAACTCTACAAGTAGAAGTGCCAAAATCTGCCCTTACAAGTCTAATACTGTTTTTTCTGCAGTTAAATTCTCTCCGGTTTCAGAGATTTGGCCAATGGTAAGACAGAGCCACACAATTCTGCAATGAAAACTGAAATTACTTTCACTAAAACCTATCAGTCTACAGAGACAATTTCTTCACTCCTAGTCTAAGCTGCAGCAGCAGTACCCTGTTGGAAGTTATGCTGTTTTTCAGGGAAAGCACAGCTTGCATCCTTCTCTCCATATGCTCTTGAGTCTTCAGTTCTTCTTTTGCATTCTCCTCATGAATTCTGTAAGCAGAGTAAAAATCTTTCATACTCACATCCTGGAAGCTTTTAGTATTAGAATGTTTAACCCAGCAAACAGTAATTGTCAGTGTCACCCCACATTCTTACTCTAAGTCTCTGTTTACTATTATACTGGGGTTGGGTAAAGTGGAACAGTTGGAAGAGTCTTCCATATACAGTACCACTCAAGTTACAAGTGCCAAGAACCTCCACTAGTTTGCTCAACAACATATTTTTTATATTTTGAATATGAAGAACTTTTGTTCCACATTATGACATATGTCTAGTTGCTAAAATAAAGTGCCTTCGGGTACTGCTCATATAACCAATATTTAAACAATTACAGTGAGCCTTACTTGTACCCCCACTAAAATAAACCCTAGAAACCCTAAGAATTAGTAATGCCAGTCTGAATCAAGTCTGAGAATATCCCAGTTAATTAACAGTAAACTAGAAAAAAAATAATAAATCTGTATATTTGATATATTATTCAGCAAGATAGATCAATTTGGCTGATTTTGTTTTACTTGATTATTGTAAGCTGGTATATGCTAAGGAAAAATGAAATATATAATACAGAAACACTGATTATTCTAATCACTTTTTCAATTAAGACAATCCTAATATACAGGTAAAAGTTATAAGTTTTCAGTTTCTTTAGTAACAAAATAATTTAACATCACAGTAATTAGATAAACATAAGCCTATGTAGAGAACGCTTGATTTCCCATTCACCATAACACAGCAGGAGCACAGAGAAATGCACTATGAACCAATTCTACTAAACAATAAGAAAGCTATTTTACCAAATTTTGGAAGGAATATAGAAAGGCAAAACGCAAGTTTCAAACTTAGAATTTAATTATACCACTTCAGTTAACAACATGTACAGTTACACTGTACATATTTTAAATTATGTATGTGAAAATGTTTCAAAACATTATTAATGCCTGTAAGCAGACAGAACTCTTTGCATCTCATCAAAAAGACAGTTGCTTCAGCTACAGGCAATCTGCAGACCATGTTAGGACACTAAGTCTGCACAGACTCAGAAAAGGAGATGTCAACTACTGAATTAGTCACACTACTCAGCAAAGCCAGTGGATTTTCTTGAAGGCCTTTTCTCAAGTCTTTTTGTGCTAGGACAGATTTGACCACTTCACAGTGCTGGCAGCATAGCTGAAGATTTCCAAGTGTAAGAGAGGATGAATCTAGCAGAAAAACAATTAGACTGAAGCATATTGTATCATATGCTATAGAATGCGTAATGACAGAAAAAAAGGAATTAATTATAACCTTGTCATGGTTTTTCTCAGGAAGTGGACTGCTTTTCCATGGTTCCTTTGGACATCTTCAAGCATTTCTTTACGCTTTTTTTCATATTCTTTCTGGGCTTCCTCTTCTCTTCTACGAAACACAGGCAGAGAGCTGCAGTAATGAAATCTTGATTCTAACACTGCTCTTCTGCTTGGAATCCATGATCTAAGGCCTACGAGGCACGGGGCTGTTATCAGTATGTCCTGAAAAGGGGACATTAGTCTGTTCTCTCTTCTCTGAGCGCTCATTTTCACAAGATCTACAGAAAATTGATGAACTGGAATCCTCTTGCCCTCCAGCAAATTTGGATGAACGTGATCATATGTTTAGAAGTTCCTGGGGCCAACAATGATGCAGACATATGCGGTTAGTCTGATCTAATAACCTTCATTGCCTTAGACAGAAAGCATACATATAGCTTCCATTTTTAACAAGCTTGTTTTCATAGGTCAGAAGTCTATTATCTACATAACTGCAGGAGGGCAGGCAATTCTCATTTTAATTTATTTCCTCAAAAATTTTCCAGAGTCAACAACTACTTCAAAAACAGAAAACCACTAATATGCTTTGAATTCACTAGTCTTCTCAACAACCAAAATAATGAATTAAGTAAAAATACTGCAGGCAAAGGAAGCAGAGTGAACAAGCGCTTACTTTTCTCTAGCCTGTTGATTTTGTTCTGCTTGCAGAGCAGCTATTTTTTCCCTCCAAATCCGCAATTCTGCTTGTTTTTCATATTGCATCTCCAGCTTCTCTTCATCTTTTTCAAGTTGCTTATGGAAGCTTCCAGATTTTCCCTGCTCAGCTTCTACTGTCCATACCTCATATCTTTAAAATAAAAGATGAGCTGTTTTCACTAACAGTCTGGCATTCTTTCATTTACTTAATATTATTGAGCAGGTAAGGCTCCACAGTGAAAATTAAAATCCAGCCACATTTTAAGATTTAAAACATATTTTGAAAAATATCTCTGCTATTTACACAGGATTTGTACCTTTCATTCAAACTAATTCTCATATCTAATAGCATGTCTGATTTTAAAGACACTGAAAATATTTATGTTGATACTTTTCGTCTTTCTCAAATTCTTAATGTATTTTAAAAGTTTTTTCTGTTTTGGACAATAAAACTTTTTGACTTCTTTCTGAAACTGCAGTGCCAGGCCTTAGATTTTACTCTTCTGTTTTGCTGAAGGAACTTAGATATGATAGGGATACATATAAATAATTTAATACAGTTATCACTAATCACACAATAAGTGTGTCAAATAAACATTTTATAGCTATTATGCAACACTGCAGCAGAATGCACTGTATTCTAGTGAATCACTTGGATAAAAATGTCTATAAGCTCCTGAAGGTGTTCCCTTTCTGATGGGATGGCATTAGTACCGGCATTTATACCAGGACGGCATTTATACCTCCGGCATAAAAAATGTGAACAGGCTCGTCTGCTGCCTTCTGAAAAAGATAGTTTTATTCTGTCTCATATAAATGGATAATTTAGTATGTGTGGGGGGAGGAAAAAAACAGCTAAAAGTAGCAATATTAACGTAGCATAACAAAACATACAATTAAAACTTCTCCATAATTCTTAATTTAATATTTTCCCTCATGTAATTTAACTACTAAAACTTGTAAATTAGAAGTACTTATGCTTATTCAGTAATCAATATTATTTTCTATTTAAGATGAGACTTGTTCAGATCCACAGTTTGTACACAACTCCAAATAAATCAAAACTTCATTTATGTGTACAAAGCTAACTCAGGAGCTAAACCACAGCAACCAGTTTAATTTCCTAAACTGTGGCCTGTTCAGGCCAAAAATTGCTCTCAAGATCCCATGCTTTACAGAAAGCTCATGTGACCTTACATTACGTATTTTAGTACTTGCATGCAACTTCTGTAGAGATTAATTTATGACCAGGAAGAACAAACATCCATTAAGCAGCTTATGAACAGAAAACTACAGTAAAGATCAGTTCTCACCACATTATCTCTCATTCCCTCACTTACACACTTTCTTTCAGTGTCAAAGCAATTTTTGACTCAAGACGCTTCTTATTCTCCAGTTCAGTGCACAGTTGCCTATGCACTGCCTGCGCATGGAACAGGGCTGCACTTACATTGAAGAGAAACAATTAGAAAGAAATTGGAACTAATTCATTTTAGAAAATTGGGAAGGGGAGGGGCACAAAAATCAACAACAAAAAAAGAAACAGCCCTGAGGCTGAGATTATGTTTCAGAATTCCACTTATATTTATTTGATGTCTCTTAGTTAATCTTCTAAATCTCCATTCTTCCCCCAAAAGCAGTTTTCTTTCAACTATTACACATTGATTGAAATAACAGAGAAGTATTTATTTCAAAAGCACTGGCCACCAGTTTAAAGTGACTCTTCATTTCTCAGGCTGAGAAAATAGTATTATTAATGAAAATAAGTCTAGATAAATTGAGAGAACTTTGACTTATTTTACTTTTAAAATGGCACCATGGTTCTCCATGTACTTTGGCTACAGCGGCAGCTTAGGCAAAACATTTGTTTATTTTCCTTGGGCTTGTTTACCTGAGAAAACGAGTGCACAATACACTACAGGAGCCAGAGACATGAACTGACTATATTCAACATAATTCCCTTTCTGGAAATGAAAATTGGAAATGGATCTTCACCTGAATTATTACTTTACCTTGCTAATTTTTGGATTAGGCATCAATAATGTTAATGGCAGCTAGTATTTTCATTACCATTAAAACATTCTGTATTTGAGCTGCATAAGCCAGAAATTTGTTAACAGATCTTCTTATTAATTTGCTAAATGATGTTAATAGATGGTGAGAATTGCAATTTTTCTGCATACCTAGACATCATAATTGGACCTGTCATAAGTATAGAGACTTTTACAGTCCTTTTCCGTCTCTTAATTTTTTTTTTAATCAAGATCACCTCTTTGAGATCCCAAAAGGAAGTACTGGCACTCACCACAGCAGTTCCATCAGTATTCGTTATTTTTGTTTAATCAACCATTCTACTTCGGCAGTTAATCTACCTTTATTATCCTATCATTTATTGGTATACTAGCTTGCTGGATCCTGGTACACAAGCCACCCACTTCGTTCTATTTAAACACATGTGAAGAGTACAGTAAATTGCCTCCCACTTTACAGCAAGTGTTTCAGAACAGCTCCTGTATGCAAAACTACTCCTGAAACACATGCATGCATTTCTCAACATAAAACAAAGAAACAAAAAAAGACACATAATTCCTGTTCATAACAGTTATCACAGCAGCAAATCTATGACTTCTAAAATTACCATAGCAGACTTCAATATCAGCTGATCATGCTGAATAGAAGTGATTAAGCAACTGATAAACAGAAACATAATTGACAGTAGTGGGCTAGGCTGAGCTAATGACCTGCTGTTTTTAGACGTTCTTTAAAACACATGCCCATTTCCCATCCATTTCTAAGTTTCCACCTCTTTCTGCATTCTTATTTACCCAACAGAATATCACCTCTAGACCAGAAAGCATAGAGATAATTATTCCCAAGCTAATGGACTGTTACTCTTCATTTCAAGAGGAGAAATGATTGCTGACTAAACCACCTGGAAAGCAATTGCAATATTAGCATTGCACCAACATGGGAATGAACGTAGTGCTCTACTTACCAGCTAAAAGCACATACCCTTGTGCCAAAATAGCCCTCCAAACTAATGCAGTTTTACCTCTCATCCCAAGAATGGCATTGGCTTTCATCACTGACCTATTAACATCTTGAAAATGTGTTTAAAAATCCTATCAGCTATGTTCAGGAACACGAAGAGGTGAAAACAACAAAGTTTCTCATTAACTACACACACATAAACATAGAGGATGCCAGTGATCTCTGATGACCAGAAATACTCTCTACCTACATATTGCCAGCATCCCTCTCTGTTTCAGTGTGCGTATATACTCCAGCTGCTTTGCTAGCATTTTGATCTGGCACGTGGCAGGTACCGAGCTTGTCTTTGAAACAAGCAAACAGCTTGCTTACATTTTGTGAGTTCTCTACTCCTTCCATAAAACTCTTCCCTTTCAGGGTAAAATTTACAGCTGGTATTCCCTCAACTCTCTTCCCCCCTCAACTTTCTCTTTTAAGATTCTAGTATGAGGTTCCTCAGAAGCAACTGTTAACGTCAAAGTATTTTCTCCAAGAAAATAGAAAAATATCATAATAGTTTATTCTGACTTCACCCAGAGTTCTGATATTATATAACATGACGACAGCATTAATATCTTTTTCATTAGTCTTCAGATATATTTGCAACTAATGAAAGTATTTTTGGCCTTGACACAGCAGAACACTCATAGCAGATGCTTACCTTAAAGTATGTTAATAACTTCTATCACAGTTAAGAGCACTTTTACCATGATTTTTCCACTTGATGGTTCCAACTGACTGTTGGGCCAGCAGGCATATGCGCAGACATAACTGAAAGGAATTAGTAGCTAATTCTCCCAGACCAAACACCTCTTCTTTAACATTTACTATCATTAGGGTTTCATTTTTTCAGATGTTTAATTCATTTATACCCTCTATTCCTTTTAATTAGTAAAAAGGTTTTGAAATTTGAGTACATTCCCATGAACAAGGGTTTTTGTCAGATAGCTTTCTTAAAAATTATATAAACAGGTACAGTACCCCAATATTTGATGGTGCATTTATGCTGATGGCTTACATATGCTTAAACACTAACCTGTTTTTTTGTACCGCATGTTCCTTTTCTTTGGCTATGTCATTCAGCTGTTTTAGGTTCCCGCATTGGGTTAATATATGAATTCTATCTGCGTACTTCATATTCTGAACATTATCAATGTTGTCCAAATACTGTTCCAAGTTTTCCCTTTGAATTGAAACATAATTAATACTGAAAACAGGACTGAGAAATTTAGAAGATACGCAAAGTCCATACATTGCACTTGTGGGTTGTTTCATTCTTTTTCTAGCAATACTGTAACAAATACGGTGACCCTAAATAAGAAAAAACACCAAGACAGTAATTTGTATAAAAGTACACTTAAGTCAAGATGATCAGACTTGGATATCTAATGTTGAGCACCTATACCCATGTTTAGGGCATTAAGGATATTTCTTTGTTTTGAACTACCTGTGGCTCCTCTTGCTAATAGCCAGGGTTTGCAAATTCTAGTTTTCCTGAACAACAGTTTCAGACTTTAAAGGGAATACTCTGAAGTAGTTTAAAACACTTTATACACAGCTGATCAAATAGTTTGTGGGGCAAGTTAATCTCTTGTCATTCTAGTCTATTTAAATAGACTAGAAAAGAATAAGCCTGAATTTTTAAATCATTTTGGTGTATTTTGAGTTTTTCTGTTGATAACAGAGACACTGTCAACATTTACTGGCAGTAGGCATACGTGTCATGCAACTTCCCACACACATAAACTAATAACTTTGCTTTGTTTTTTCATCACTCCTTGTATCCCTATGCCAGGTAAATCCAGGGCAGAGGTAAACAATCTTGTCACAGTAGGCAGAACCTGGCTTTGATCTCTGCAAAGTCAGCAGCAACCACTTAAGACCACATTCAACCCTGCAAACTCCTTTTCATGTGTGACCTTTGTTACATGTAAGGTCACATGTATTTCTCCTGGAATAGATCCGCTGTACCACCTATCTGTGAAAACAAAGTAGTACTGAACTATCACTACAGTGGTTCTGTGCTAACTGACTTTACATGGTGGTATTAAACTCTTCAAAAATTGCAGTCCAGCAGTGATACTCCTTAACAGACCAACTTCTCTTTTTCAAAAACTCCCCATGTTCTACAAGTAGAGGGACATGAACACAACACAAAGTAGTGCTACAAAGAGCAGGCTGATTTTAGAAGCAGTACAAATATGTTAGTGCAGCACTACCCCGGCTAATAAAGTCTTTCAAGGAAAGCTAATTAGCTCATGTTAATCTAGTACAAACATTGCGTTATGTGCACACACCTTCAATGGCTTCAGATTAAAGAGGGCCCAGAGTCTATCTTTATCTTATTATGATGTAAGTCATTATTTTAACAATGGTAACTGATTTTGTTTATTTTTAACGGAAAGGCCATACATCTCAATGATGAATTTGCCAACCCCCCCGCCCAATGGATAGCTGAATTAACCAAACCTTATCTTTAAAAATGTAAATTAACACTATAGAAGAAATTACTGTTAGAACTGATAACAAATTAAGTTATTTACATGCTAGAATCAGACTCATCTCCAGCTCCTTTAGAAGGGTCCTTGTTTCCCATCTTGCCACCATCACCTGACTCTTCAAGTTTGTGTTCTAATAGAAATTAAAGCAAGACAACAGCTTAATAAAGACAGCTTGGGCATGAAAATGCAAAGCCCTTGTATACTTCCTGTCAAGTCAGAACATGAGGATAATCAAAAACGCCATTTTAAAAGCTTTACTGCTGTGTATATTGAAAAATGTGATGTCACAAAACACACAGAACTGCAACTGTACACCTGCAAACCAAAACAGGAATATGTACTCTGCCTTCCCTATAGAGTTGTCACCAACGATGACTCCACCAATGCACAAGAAAAAAAGAAAGAAAAAAGGAGGTTAGTACTAGCCAAATGCAATGTAAGGTGCATAGCATGGTTCATTGACTGGTTTTGGTGGACAGTCTACTCAAGTCTTGTTAATCTTATACTCGTTTATCCTGCTCTACATACATCTATGTATTTTTTTCATTCCTCAGACTTACTGCAATAGAGTCCATTTTTATTAAACATATTGGGATCACCAAAATGACAATGAAAAATAGCCTAAACTTTTGATTTAACAGTCAGTAGTCAGCACTACACCACACGCAGAAACAGTAATTTGTAATATGGTAGTTATGTTGTCTCACATAACCTATTTCAGTATAACTTTTTGATACAATTAGAGAATTTTGGATACAATTAGAGAAATCAGTTGCCTATCAACAGATATCAGTTGTCATTTACAATGCCTAAGGCATGCAGCAACTTGAGAGTTAGATCTATGGAAGAATATGCCTTTCTGGAGCTAGACAGGAGACTCTAAAGCACCTCAAGTGGCACTAGGTGCTAATGTACAACCAACTGAATCAAGTCCACACAGTCAAATATTGATTTTTATCATTAGTAACTCTGAAATTAAAAAGCCTTACAGAAGTAGAAAGTATGGAATTCACTGCTACAGAAGTAATGGGTTAAATTTGGATGAATTACACCTGTGACAGTATAACTGTAGAGAAAACTTTACTCAAATCATTGCATTTACTCAGAGTTATCATTCTACCCTAAAACTGTACTGTTCCCATCTACTAAGTCAGTAGAACTGTTAAAGATAGCTTTCTGTAAGTTACCAAAATGATTCATAATCTTCACCTTCCTGGTGGTCTTTCATATTAGAGAACTGACTGGCTCTGTCTTCTTTTTCTTCCTGTTCCAGAAATGGTAAAAGAGTTTTCTGCTCTTCTTCACCACTATCACTGAACTTAGCATCTTCCATATCGATGGTTCTTTTAAAACAATCAAGCTACCAAAGAGAAGAGTGCATGTTTTACATAAAGCAAAAGTGCTGACTATAGTTTGAGATGCAGTAAATATTTATTAAATGCTATTACTCCATGCGAGATAACTGGATACAATCACGCGCCTTTATACTACTCACACATTTGGACTATTAGTCCAAATTTAATTAGTCCATTTAATTAGTCTCTGATGGAAAATAAAAGACACTTCCAAAGAATTTTGTTATAATAATCAGTTCTGTAACAAAACCACTCTTCCAAATGTGTTTTATCCACTTGGACAACCACTTTACCCAAAATAGTTAGGGAATGACTCAACAGACACTGTTGACTCTCGCTTCTTATGCGGTTCCCCCTTGTTAAATTCTTCTCAAATGTTGATGCAATTTACCAGAATTCAGTAAATGCTGTGTGTCATCTAGAATGACTTATTACCACATGGCTGATCATTTCATCAAGATCTTACTCATATAGAGACATACATATGATTAATTTTACACCCAGAGCAAGGCCACTGACTCCTGTCTTTATGTAAATCCTTCTGCAGAACTCAGATAAACACAAACTAGAAGAGAGTATCTATTTCTCTGAGTTAAGGAATAGAAGGGGTATGCTACAGAATTTAAAGTATGGGATAGGCTGGAACAGAAGTGATAAAAGCCACCTTAAAGCCAAAACAGAATTCTTACACAGGGTTATGGTCAATTTAAAACTACCCTGCTAGTTAAAGGTTAGAACTACCCTGCTAGTTAAAGGTTAGAACTACCCTGCTAGTTAAAGGTTAGAACTACCCTGCTAGTTAAAGGTTAGAACAGACAACATGCCTTGAAACATGCCATGAAACAATTTGGGCTACGTAAGACAAAGGAAGAACATCTTTAGCAGCTATTCCGGGTAAATATGGGTTCATACACACACAACTCACAGTCGGTACTCAGGATTCTCAAAGGTATTTAGGCACTTGGTATGCAGGCAGTTAGGTAAATACATATCTCTGAAGATCTGGGTCCAGATCAATAGCCATTCATGCTGGAATATATACAGTCCAGCAAGACATGGAGTCTCCTTTCCCCAAGATTCCTCAGAGCTCTTCTTTATCTTATAGCCTGAAAGTCTAGCAGCCTGTCCAAGCTGCATATTTAGATGAACAGAAAGTGTATTTTCCAAAGAAACGCAATTATACGTTTAGAAATAATACTAAGTGGCCAAAAAGGCAGTGGAAAAATTCTTAGTAGCTTTGAGTGCTGAATTGGGAGCTTATTTAGCAGCTACAAGGTGTTATTTCAAACAGTTTCAGAAACTGAAATGAAAGAGTATTTAATAGGAAATGACACGGGGAAAGAAGTTTGGAAACAATATCTACACTGCTTTATTTTACAATCAAAAAAACAATCTGCAATTTTTGGATTCTGTGTAGGAATGGTAATGAAAACTTCTCTACTCACTTACTCATGACCCAGAGTCATTGTCACCTGTTTTCCTTTGGAGAGGAAAACAAACAAACAACATCCACCACCAACAAAAACACACACTGCCTAGAAACTATTCTCTTGCAAAACAAAGCCTTGGGTTACCCAGACCAGAAGTTTCCTGCAACATTTATGTTACCCAGAAATCTTTTCTGACACCATGAAGAATTTCCTCCAAAATCTTCACTCTTTGTGAGTACTGCTATAAGAACTACATACATAACATATACTGAATTTCAGCAATGCCTAAGAAATAGGAGCAAACAAAATAACTAATGACTTGCACTTTTACATGACTATTTCAGATGTAGAAGTGTGAGAATTATTTGCCAAGAGCCTGCTTTTCTGCAGCACTTGAGAGATGACTGCTTTCAGTAGTCAGAGAATTACAAAGTCTAAAGGCTACAGAAGCAAATCTTTTTTTAAAAAGTATGTTTTCAGCTTTTAATAATGCATTAACTGTTTCTCTAAGAGGATGAAGTCACCACTAATCTTGACCAGCAGGTGAAGACTGCATCACTTGATGACATGAGGTAATAAATCCAGCAGAACGTTTAAACTCTGACAAAAAACAACACAAAAGTACATCAAGCTGTCAGTGCAGCAGTAATAGCTTGAATACCTTCTGATAAGCCATTGTCTTGTCAAGAGATGGAACCCAAATTTAAATGCAATATAGCTTTGGCTAAATTAGGCCAAATCTACCACATGATTTGGGGCCTTCTGTAAGAAAAGAATCACAAGTCAGACAGTGAAAGGCACATAGCTTCCAAAATTCATCATGCTACAGAACACACATGCTGCATCTGAACATTATGTTGTCAAAACATTATCATGACATTGGATTCACGTCGTATCCCAGCAACACCACAAACAACAACAAGGTACAGGGCACATTTGTACAGCCTCCCTCTAACTGCTGTAAATCCGCCCCAGAGCCAGCAATGGAACTGCAACAAAGCCTCCCACACCAGAGCACGCCTCCGGTAACAGCCGCGCAAGGGTCAGCCCACGGGGTGAGCCAAGGCCGCACGCGGGGGGCACCCCAGCCGACCCGCGGCGTCCTCTATGCCCCCCTCCTCCGGCGACGGCACCGGCTC